ACACCAAAAAGTAAAGAGCACCAACATAAAGAAGAATTTACACCAACACATGGATAAAACAGCCAGTCAACATCAAATGGCAGTAACCCTAAATTTAAATTGACTAAATTCCCAATCAAAAGACACAGCCAAAACCCAACGGCATGTTACATCCAGACCTGTTTCACATGCAAGGATACACAAAGACTCAAAACAAAGGGATGGAGAAAGATTTACCAACCAAATGGAGAGCAAAAATAAATAATAAATAAATAAAAAGCAGGAGTTGCAATTCTTGTATCGGATAAAATAGATTTTAAAGCAACAAAGATATAGTGGTAAAAGGATCAATGCAACAACAAGAGCTAACGATCCTAACACCCAGATAGGAGACTTAGATTCAATGAGACAGAAAATTAATAAGGATATCAAGGACTCGAACTCAGATCCAGAACAAGTAAACTTAATAAATATTTATAGAGCTCTCCACTTCAAATACACAAAATATACATTCTTGTCAATACCACATCACACCTACCCATTAGTTTAAATGAAACATTGATTGGCCATTATTAATACCCAATTTTTTTCAAAATAAAGCAATATTTCCATTTACTCTCCCTCTTTCTCTTCCTCTTTCTTCCTCTCCTTTACTTTTTTTTTTTTTTTCTTTCCTTCTCTCAAAAAAAAATAAATCAACTTGTAAACCTCTAGATCCAGGTCGGCAATGTCTCTTTCATTGCCTGATTTCCTTTCTTCCCTTCCCTTCCTCCCTCCCTCCCTCCCCGCTTCCTCCCTTCCTTCCTTCCTTCATCCCTTCCTTCCTCCCTACCGTCCTTCTTCCCTTCCTTCCTGCCTTCCTCCCCCCCCAAAAAAAAAAAAAAAAAAAAAAAAATTGACCACATAATTGGAAGTAAAGCACTGCTCAGCAAATGCAAAACAACTGAAATCATAACAAACAGCCTCTCAGACCACAGTGCAATCAAGTTAGAACTCAGAATTCAGAAACCGACCCAGAACCGCACAAAGCTTCATGGAAACTGAACAACTGGCTCTTGAACGTTGACTGGGTAAACAATGAAATGAAGGCAGAAATAAAGAAGTTCTTCAAAACCAATGAGAACAAAGACACAACATGCCAGAATCTCTGGGACACATTTAAAGCAGTCTCTAGAGGAAAGTATATAGCAATAAGTGCCCATATGAGGAGAATGGAGAGATCCAAAATTGACACCATATCGTCAAAATTGAAAGAGCTAGAGGAGCAAGATCAAAAAAACTCAAAACCCAGCAGAAGACAAGAAATAACTAAGATCAGAGCTGAACTGAAGGAGATTGAGACACGAAAAACCCTTCAAAAAATCAATAAATCCAAGAGCTGGTTTTTTGAAAAGATCAACAAAATAGACAGACCACTAGCCAGACTGATTAAAAAGAAAAGAGAGAACAACCAAATAGATTCAATAAAAAATGATAAAGGGGAAATCACCACAGATTCCACAGAAATTCAAACCATCATCAGAGAATATTACAAACAACTCTATGCACATAAACTAGTAAACCTGGAAGAAATGGATAAATTCCTGGACTCCTGTGTCCTTCCAAGCCTAAACCAGGAGGAAGCTGAAGGTATGAATAGACCAATAACAAGGGCAGAAGTCGAGGCAGCAATTAAGAGCCTACCACACAAAAAAAGCCCAGGTCCAGACGGGTTCACAGCCGAATTCTACCAGACACACAAAGAGGAGCTGGTACCATTCCTTCTGAAACTATTCCAAATAATCCAAAAAGAGGGAATCCTTCCCAAATCATTTTATGAGACCAACATCAACCTGATACCAAAACCCAGCAGAGACCCAACAAAAAAAGAAAACTTCAGGCCAATATCCATGATGAACATAGATGCAAAAATCTTCAATAAAGTATTGGCAAGCCAAATGCAACAGCAAATCAAAAAACTTATTCATCCTGATCAAGTAGGATTCATCCCGGGGATGCAAGGCTGGTTCAACATACGCAAGTCTATATAAACATAATTCACCACATAAACAGAACCAAAAACAAAAACCACATGATTATCTCAATTTATGCAGAGAAGGCATTTGACAAAATTCAACAGCCCTTTATGCTAAAAACCCTCAATAAACTCGGTATCGATGGAACATATCTCAAAGTAATAAAAGCTATTTATGACAAACCAACAGCCAATATCATACTGAATGGGCAAAAACTGGAAGCATTCCCTTTGAAATCCAGCACTAGACAAGAATGCCCTCTTTCACCACTCCTATTCAATATAGTACTGGAAGTTCTAGCCAGAGCAATCAGGCAAGAAAAAGAAATAAAGGGTATTCAAATAGGAAAGGTGGAAGTCAAATTGTCTATTTGCAGACGACATGATAGTATACCGAGAAGACCCCATCGCCTCAGCCCAAAAACTCCTGAAACTGATAAGCAACTTCAGCAAAGTCTCAGGATATAAAATCAATGTGCAAAAATCACAAGCATTCGTCTACACCAATAACAGACACAGACTTAAAGAAAGCCAAATCAAGAACGAACTGCCATTCGCAATTGCTACAAAAAGAATAAAATACCTTGGAATACAACTCACAAGGAACGGAAGGGACCTCTTCAAGGAGAACTACAAACCACTGCTCAACAAAATCAGAGAGGACACAAACAGATGGAGAAACATTCCATGTTCATGGTTAGGAAGAATTAATATCGTGAAAATGGCTATACTGCCCAAAGTAATTTACAGAATCAACACTATCCCCCATCAAGCTACCATTGACTTTCTTCACAGAACTGGAAAAAACCACCATGAACTTCATATGGAACCAAAAGAGAGCCCACATAGCCAAGTCAATTCTAAGCAAAAAGAACACAGCGGGGGGCATCACACTACCGGATTTCAAACGATACTACAAGGCTACAGTAATCAAAACAGCATGGTACTGGTACCAAAACAGAGATATAGACCAATGGAACAAAACAGAGGCGCCGGAGGCAACACAACATATCTACTATACAATCTTTGATAAACCTGACAAAAACAAGCAATGGGGAAAGGATTCCCTGTTTAATAAATGGTGTTGGGAAAACTGGCTAGCCATGTGCAGAAAGCAGAAACTGGACCCCTTCCTGACACCTTACACTAAAATTAACTCCAGATGGATTAAAGACTTAAACGTAAGACCTGGCACCATAAAAACCCTAGAAGGAAATCTAGGCAAAACTATCCAGGACATAGGAGTAGGCAAGGACTTCATGAACAATACACCAAAAGCATTGGCAACAAAAGCCAAAATAGACAAATGGGACCTAATGAAACTCCACAGCTTCTGCACGGCAAAAGAAACAGTCATTAGAGTGAATCGGCAACCAACAGAATGGGAAAAAATGTTTGCAGTTTACCCATCTGACAAAGGGCTGATATCCAGAATTTACAAAGAACTCAAACAGATTTACAGGAAAAAAACAAACAAGCCCATTCAAAAGTGGGCAAAGGATATGAACAGACACTTTAGGAAAGAAGACATATATGAGGCCAACAATCATATGAAAAAATGCTCATCGTCACTGGTCATCAGAGAGATGCAAATCAAAACCACATTGAGATACCATCTCACGCCAGTTAGAATGGCGATCATTAAAAAATCTGGAGACAACAGATGCTGGAGAGGATGTGGAGAAAAAGGAACACTTTTACACTGTTGGTGGGAGTGTCAATTAGTTCAACCATTGTGGAAGACAGTGTGGCGATTCCTCAAGGCCTTAGAAATAGAAATTCCATTTGACCCAGCAATCCCATTACTGGGTATATATCCAAAGGACTATAAATCGTTCTACTATAAGGACACATGTACACGAATGTTCATTGCAGCACTGTTTACAATAGCAAAGACCTGGAATCAACCCAAATGCCCATTGATAATAGACTGGATGGGAAAAATGTGGCACATATACACCATGGAATATTATGCAGCAATCAGAAATGATGAGTTTGTGTCGTTTGTCTGGAGAACATCATCCTCATCAAACTGACACAAGAACAGAAAATAAAACACTGCATATTTTCACTCATAGGCAGGTGATGAAAAATGAGAACACATGGACACAGGGAGGGGAGTACTAAACACTGGGGTCTATTGGGGGGAAAAGGGGAGGGCCAGTGGGAGTGGGAGGGGGAGGTGGGGAGGGATAGCCTGGGGAGAAATGCCAAATGTGGGTGAAGGGGAGAAAGGAAGCAAAACACACTGCCATGTGTGTACCTACGCAGCTGTCTTGCATGTTCTGCTTATGTACCCCAAAACCTAAAATGCAATAAAAAAAAATAAATAAATAAAGTAAAAAAAAAAAAAAAGTTCACAGTCACCAAGGCGTGATTATACTGGAGGGGTTTTAAGCCCTCGGTCCCTCATGGGATTGCCAGTCTGAGGACAGCCTTCCACAAGAACTGGATACAAGGTACTACAACTCCACACAAGGTACTACAACTCCTTTATCAGGAGGATGGCTCTTGCCCCAAGCCTGCCATACAGCGGGTATCTTTACAATACTGAACGCTGCCACCTGGGCCATGGATTCCTGTCCTGGTATAACTGTTTTTCCCTTAAATCATGCTCTGCATCATGTCTGATCCAGACATTCCTCTGACTATAAGCTGCTTATTCCTTAATTCATGCTCTGTACCATGTCTACTCTAAGATATAATTTTATATATACACACATATATATTATATGGAAATAATTGGGTAGTAAGATATTCTTCAGGTATTCATTCTATAAACTAATATATGATTATATATAAAGGATAATACAAAAGGAAATAACTGAGTAGTAACACTATAAACTAAAATATTCTTCAGGCACTAATTGTGCTGGGAATCTCCTTAGCTGTCCTTCCTTGGTGCCTAGATGGGGGGTTACCCACATTAAACCTTTGTTTTACTGGTCCCTCTTACACTTTTTGCTTTTATTTTCAGTAGTATGGGAATCATCTTATGACACTGTACTATGCTTTAAAAATCATTTTATTTTCTAAGAGAAGTAAGCATGCTTATATCAGGTACAAAAGCTTTAGTGCTCATCATGGTGAGTTGGTGAAGATCTGGAAATATTGGTATTATATCGAGAAAACACCTTTGACAAAGCTGAAGACATTTTTGCCAGCATTTTAGATCCTTGTTTGGAGACACCGGGCTTGGGAGTTTCTGTGGACAAAGTAAACAAGAAGAACATCTTTATTTTTGGATGCTGATGTCAAATACCTTGCTTAAGTTTATATGGGTAAATGGTGACCCAGCTGGGAATAGAGTCCAGGCTTTCTGAAATTTCAAAATTGTTCTCCTCTGGAGAACTAAAATAGCCCATAATGTCATGCTGAAAAAAAATGAGCATTCCTGAGGGTTTATCTAAGACACCCAGTTGTCTTTGAATCAATAGGAGAATTAACAGATATGCAGTTTGTATTTGGATTTTTTTTGCACCATTTATTCAGCATGAGGCTTTAAAGAATATAATCATCTCTGCTTAACAAAATTGTCATTTTATAGGTAAAGAAATAATCATTTACATACTTTTCTGATACTTCATAAGTTGTAAATAGGGCCACTAAAATTGCATATTTTCTTGATTGTAGCAAATGATCCTCAAAAGTTATAAACTTTCATATAAAATTTTTATACCCAGCTTCTTTGGAAAAATTCAAGAACTGGGAACAATCCAGCATGCCAGTGATAGTAACTGAGTAGCCGCTCCCTCCTGCGAAGGTGGCATGCCATCTCCCATGATCCTCATGCCCCTGCTCAACCTGCTGCTGTTGTTCATAGTACCTACCTTACTCTTACAACCATTTGAGTGTGTAGACAATGATGATGCTACATGAGACTGGGATCTGAAACATAGCTCTGCCGCTCATTAGCTGGCGGGTAATCTTGGAAACCTATTGTCATTTTTCTCTTTAATGATTCTCAATTTTTTCCTTAAATAAAATGTGGATAGCTGGTGCCTGACACATTTTAGTTAAATTATCCATTGTCCCTTTGGTGTACAGATAGAGAACTACGCAATTAACTGCAAATTGGTATTTGTACAAACAGTAAGAATATTATTTCAGCCCCATTTTGATAATATGCAAGGGCAGAGCCACTAATTTCCAGGATAGTAATCACAAATCCTAAATTCAAAATGATACAATTGAGAGATTAATTATACCAGTTGTTAAAATAGTTCATTTTGTACCTGAAATGTTTGAAGAACTTGCATTGCCAACATCCTTGGATCTTTCAAAGATGGTAATAAACTGCCAAGATAAATAGAAATACAAACTGAGTCTTTCATTGGACACTAAACACTAGATATACCAATAAATCCTCAAATCCACTAGATATACCTATATATATATCATTACAGCACCTTCCATAAAATATATTTGTGCTCTGCAATCTCAAATAATTGCTCACCGAGACTGAGGCTCATAGTTTTTGTGAAGTAAGTAAGATGCCTAAGATTGACCCTTGTTATAAATGCAGGCCTTGGCTAAAACGAAATGAAGGTCAGTGGTTCAACCATATTAACTCATGAAAAAGCTCTGTCTGCCCCCTCTATCCTTTGATTGAATAGACAAAAGTTATAAATCCTTTTCTGAAAAAAGATGTAATGATAAGGGGAGAGAAATGATGATCACTTTGTAACCCCAAATTTTATTTTATTGAAATCTTAGCCACTGCAAATTCTGTAGCAATAAAGTGGCTCTGTGGACCTGATAGTGCTGGGATTGTGTCTCCAATATTAGCTTTACTCTGTAGACCCTTATCAATTTTGAGTGCAGGAGCAGCAATTGTCCCAGGGAGGCATAAAATAGCCTGGGATAGGTGGTTGAAAAAATGTCATCTGTTAAAAATCAATAAAATAAGGCTTAAATACATGAAACATAAAAGGAATGTGTAGTGTCTATATCAGGTAAAGATCAGCAGATATTATTACAAGAGTTTTACCATAGTTCTAAGTGTGCTTATGTATTAAGTTATTGTAAACAAGATACCTGAGGAATAAAATGGGGCAGAGACAATGTGAAGCATTGATTCTCAACTTGGGTAATATAATCACATTATCTGTGGAAACTTTTTTTTTCTAGGCTCTTTATAGAGACTGTTGCAACAGAGCTAATAAATGAAATTGTACTTAGATGCTAGGAAAAAACAGTATATTATTTTGTGCATTTAAACAAGGAATGCTGACTTACCCCAAAGGATTTTGTTAAGATATTTTAATATACCAGGGGTGGACCTCAGCTAGGGAGAGAGAACAGGGTGTACGAAATTGTGAACAGGAGAATGCTTCCTGATATCCTACAAATCACAACACACAGTCCCTGACTGAACTATGAAAACCGAGTTGTGCTTAACTAGGTCCCAATACATTCCAATTAAAGATAATTAAAGATACTTACCTCAACACTGCTTCTATTCTCTAGATTTTGTTCCTGAGAACTTTCTTAAAAAAAAAAGTAAAATAGTCTCTTTCTGAGGCATATATATTTGCTGACAGAAATCTGATCATATTATCATTTTTCACCAAATAATCATATCATTTAGGCAGATGGAAGAAGCTGTTATTTAAAATGTACTGAGAACAACACTGAAATAGGTGAGAGCCCTAGAATGCTGGGGCATGTCTTAGCCCTTCAGTTAGAAATTATGAAAGATGAGGCCAGGAGTGGTGGTTTCACTTTGGGCCACCACTTTAGGAGGCCCAAGTAGGTAGATCACCTGAGGTCAGAAGTTCGAGACCACCTGGCCAACGTGGTGAAACCCCATCTCTACTAAAAAAAATACAAAAATTTGCTGGGCATGGTGGTGGGCACCTGTAATCCCAGCTACTTGGGAGGCTGAGGCAGGAGAATCCCTTGAACCCAGAATACAGAGGTTGCAGTGAGCCAAGCTTGTGCCATTGCACTCCCACCTGGGCAAAAGAACAAAAACCTGTCTCAAAGAAAAGAGAGAAAAAGGAAGAAAGAAAGAAAGAAAGAAAGAAAGAAAGAAAGAAAGAAAGAAAGAAAGAAAGAAAGAAAGAAAGAAATGTAACATAGTGGGAGAGGCAAGCTCTATAACTTAGCAGTTATGTATCTATGCACAACCATTCAATCCCTATAAGCCTCTTTGTTTACCTGTAAAATGAGAGATTATAGACAATTCTTAATAGCGCTTCCAGCTCTACCACTTTCTGTGCATACTTAAAGCAGCTCATTAGAATAAAGAGGAGAGTACTGATATTATTAAATAGTAACTTTCGGGACAATCAGGAGAGCTTTGAGACAATGCCTGGAGAAAATTGGTGGAATCTACAGAACCAAAAGTTGCCTGAGTGAAAGAAAATTCAGTCAAGGAGATAGAAATGACACTGAGAGAAGCTTCACAAGAACCCACTGCTGGGGAAGCAGCTAACCTGCTAAGACGGAAAACCTGTATTTGAATCTTCTTAGAGCTTTGTGAACATTGAACATCTAACTTCTCTGACTCCATTTTCTCATACAGATATGGGAATGAGACTGTCTTCCCTGGCTATCTCACAAGGGGCCACTGAGAGATCATATAAGAAAACACGATGCATTTTATACAGCTACACTCATCAAAAGCCAACAAAAGAAATATGCAGATAAAGGGATACCTATCTAAAATATCCTTTGGGCCAATATGGGTTCTAAAAAAAAGTAATAGTAAAATGTCAATCAGCTCAAATATGAGAAGTGATTAAATTATGTGATAAAATTGGTAAGATCTCACTGTTGCTTGATAATCTTCCTAAAAAATGTTTGTATCTATATTGCACATGACTGAACAAACTGCTTTAAATAATTGAGGACATTTGGGTTTGCTACAAGGGCCATGATTCCAAAGATGTTTTTAAGTTTCTAGGGTATACGGGCATCCAAATCCCCAGAAAAACTACGAAGTTATTTTGATGAAGGTTATTTGTGGGGCCCAGATGTTCAGATTTAAGTTATCTGAGATTTTATTGTATATTCTATGAATTAGGAATGCATATATCTGGCCTTGATCTTTCCACTGAATTTCAGACTTAAATATACAATTGCTTACGTGACATCTCAACTTTAATGTCTAAAGGATACCTCAAACTCACATAACCAAAAAAGAAATCGTGTGCTCCTCCTTCACCTTTGGTTCCTCCCATAGTCTCTCCTATCTCATTAAATGCCTGTATCTACTATAAACCATGCAGTGTTTTAGGCTCTGGGTGATACAGCTGTGAACAGACATAAATCTCCACCTGTATGAGGCTTACATTCTGGAGAGATAGTCAAAAAACAATTAAAATACACAATAAACAGAAAGTGCCATGCAGTAAAGCAAAGAACTGGGATAGGTAGCACCACAATCAGAATTAAGTTGCAGTTTCAGAGTGTGATCAGAGAAGACCTCACTGAGAAAGACATTTGAGCCAAGGTCTGAAAGTAAGGATATGCAGATACAGGTGAGAAAGTACTACAGGAGGATCAGCATTAATGTATAAAATGTTTGAGGAACAGCAAAGAGGTTAGGGTGATTGGAATGGATTGAGCCAGAAATATACAGAGGAGGAGCTTAAATAGGGAATAGTTTTTAGTTTGATAACTAAAAAAAATTATCAAAGCAGTAAACAACATTTCTTTTTGAATACTCTCTAATTTCAGAAGAAAGAATCCAACCTTCTAATATTTTGGCACTTGGATCTGAATGACAATCTTCAGCCTCACTAAAACAAAAGAAAAAAGAACATCACTTTAGGTATATTTAATAAATGAAGAACTTACTGGTTAAGCAAAAGAACAGTTATTCTTCATATGGAAAGAAACCTGAAATAGTATATTATTCACTGAGATTCCAAATCAAATGAAAATGATTTCTGACTTTTCCCCCTACTTTTACAATTGTGGTTATACATACATTACCATTTTAAGTGTATAGTTCTGTAGCATTAAGTACATTTGCAGTGCTGTGCAACCATTATCATCATCCAGCTCCAGAACTTTTTCACCTTTCTCAACTGAAATTCTATGCCGATTAAACATTAAAACCTAATTTCCCTCTTTCCTCATCCCCTGGAAACCACTTTTCTCCTTTCTGTCTATGATTTTGACTATGCTAGAAACTCATATGAGTTATGAGAGTCATGAAATATTTGTCCTTTTGTGCTGACCTGTGCTGACCTATCCCAATTAGCATAATATCTTCAAAGTTCATGCATCTGGTAATGGGTGTCATAATATCCTTCCTTTAAGGCTGAATATTTATAACATTGAATATTTATAACACATGTTGTTTATTTTTTTATTATTATTTTTTTTGAGATGGAGTTTCGCTCTTGTTACCCAGGCTGGAGTGCAATGGCGCGACCTCGGCTCACCGCAACCTCTGCCTCCTGGGTTCAGGCAACTCCTGAGTAGCTGGGATTACAGGCACGCGCCACCGTGCCCAGCTAATTTTCTCATCTATCAGTGGACATTGGGATTTGTCTATGGTGAAAAATGGTGTACAAATATTTGTTTCAGTCCCTGCTTTTAATTATTATATGTACACAAAAGTAGAATTGCTTGATCATAGGGTAACTCTATGTTTAATATTTGAGAACCCTTCAATACTGTTTTCCACAGTGACTGCACTATTGAAATTCCCACCATCAATGTACGAGGGTTTCAATTTTTTACACCCTTACCAGTTCTTGTTTTCTTTTCCCTCCCTCCTTCCCTCTCTCCCTCCCCTTTCTTCCTTCTTTCCCTCCTTCCCTCTTTCCTTCCTTCCTCACTCACTCCTCCCTCCTTCCCTCTCTTAGTTTCTTCTTTAGTTATCTTAATGTGTTGAAAGTGGAATCTTGTGATTTTGATTTGCATTTCTTTAATGATTAGGGAAATCATTAAAAAATTATATTGCCTATATTCAAGTCTATTTAAGTCCTTTGGACATTTTTAATTGGGTTGTCTCACTGATGTTGAGTCATAGGAATTATTTGCATATTCTGAATATTAACTATTTACTAGACGTACAATTTGCAAATATTTTATCTCATTCCGTGGGTTGACTTTTCACTTTGTTGATGGTGTCCTTTGAAGCACAAAGTTTTAATTATAATGAAGCACAATATATCTATTATTTTCTTGCCTGTGCTTTTAGTATCATAACAACAAAAACAACAACAAGCATTGTTAAATCCAATGTCATGAAGCTTTTCTCCCATGTCTTCTGACAGAAGTTTTTTTAGTTCTTATACTTAAATCTCTGATTCATTTTGAGTTAATTTTTGTATATAGTTTAAGGTAAGGGTTCCCCTTCATTTTTCTTTGCTTGTTTTTTGCATGTGAGTATCTAATTTTCCCATCACAACTTGTGGAAAAGAACATCCCATCCCCATTAAATGGTCTTGGTTCTCCTGGTAGAAATCATTTGATCATATACGGAAGGGTTTATTTCTCGGCTCTTTATTCCGTTTCCTTGCTCTATAAGTCTATATGTCAGTATCAACCGTTTATGATAGCTTTGTAGTAAGATTTGAAATCAGAAAATGAAACATCTGCAACTTTGTTCTATTTTAAGGTTGTTTTCCTATTAAAGGTCCTTTGAGACACTAGTGAGCTTTAGGATACATTTTCTATTTCTACAAAAAAAAAAACAACTTGGTATTTTGATCAAGATTCCATTGATTCCATGGATTACTTTAGTAGAATGAACATTTTAACAATATTAAATCTTCCAATCCATAAGCATGAAATATCTTTCTACTTATTTGTAGTTGACAAAGTACACATCTTTCAGTTCCTTGGTTAAATATATTCTTTTTTATTCTGCTTGTTATTAATATAAATAGATTTTTCTCCTTAATTGTCTTTAGGTTGTTAGTATATAGAATGCAGCTAATTTTTGTTTGCTGAATTAATTTATTAAATATAATAGTTTTTTTCTGTGTATTCTTTAGAGATTTCTACATTGTGACCATGTCATCTATAAACAATAACTTTTCTGCTCTTCCAATTTGAATGCCTATCCCTCTTTTTCTTGCCTAATATTTCTGACTAGCATTTCCAGTACTATGTTAAATATAAGCAGCGAAAGTCGTCATTGTTTTTTGTTTGTCCCTGATCTCAGAGGAAATATTTCATTTCCTTACCCTGAGGACAATGTTAGCTGTAGATGTTTCATATATGACCTTAACAATGCTGAGGCAGTGTCCTTCTCTTTCTGGTTTGCTGAGTCTTTTTATCCATGTAAAAGTGTGAACTTTTGTCAAGTAGTTTTCCTGCATCATTTGAGATGTGTGTGTGTGTGTATGTGTGTGTGTGTATGTTTCCCTTTCATTCTGTTAATGTGATGTATTACATTGATTTTTTTTCTTTTTTGAGATACCCAGGTTGGAGCAAAGTGGTGTTATCACAGCTCACTGCAGTCTCAACTCAATAAATTCACCTGGCCAAGCCTCTTTAGTAGCTGGGACCACAGGTGCACACCACCACCCCTGGCTATTTTTTGTATATATATTTTTGGAGAGATTGGGTTTTGCCATGTTGTCCATCCTGGTCTCAAATTCTGAGGCTTGAGTAATCTGCCTGCCTTAACCTCTCAAAGTGCTGGGGTTATAGACATGAGTACTGCGCCCGGCCTATTATTGGTTTTTGTATATTGAAACCTGCTTGCATTCCTGAAATAAATCTAACTTGGTTATGATCTATAAACCTTTTAATCTACTGCTGAATTTGGTTGGCTAATATCTTGTTGAAGACTTTTATATCAATATCCATCAGTAATATTGGTTTGTATTGTTTTCTTGCAGTCTTTGGTCTTGATAATAAGCTAATGATGGCATCATGACTTTGGAAGTACTTCCTCATTTTCAATTTTTTGGAAAAGTCTGAGGGATTTTAGTGTTAATTCTTTAAAATTTGTGACATCCATGAGTGAAACTATCTGGTCATGAGCTTTTCTTTGTTAGGAGGTTTTTCAGTTATTGTTCCAATTTCTTTACTATTTCTAAATTTTTTCAATATGATTAGCATAATTCGGTCTTGACAGGTTGTGTATTTCTAAGAATTTATCCATTTCATCTGGAGTATCCAACTTGTTGGACACACAATTATTCATAGTATCCTTGTATAATCCTTTTTATTTCTGTAAACTCAGTTGCTATTTTACTCTTTCATTTATTATTTTGGCTGTCTTTCTTTCCTTAGGCAATCTAGCTAAAGACTTGTCAATTTTGTTGATTTTTTTAAATGAACCAACTCTTGGTTTTATTGATTTTTCTCTACTGTGTTTTTAGTCTTTATTTTATTGCTGCTCTAATCTTTATTATTTTCTTTCATTTAATACCTTTTAGTTTGTTCTTTTTCTAGTTAAGGTGTAAATTTAGGTTGTTGGTGTAAGATCTTTCTTATTTATTAATAAAGAATTCACAGCTACAAATTTTCCTCTTAACATTGCTTTTGTTGTATTCCTTAAGTTTGGTAAGTTTCCTTATCCTTTCTTTTTTGACTCATTGGTAGATAGTGTATTGTATATTGTTTAATTTTCACATATTTTAAGCTGTTTTGGCTTTCTTCTGCTGTTGACTTCTAGTTTTGTCTCCTTGTAATTTAAAAATATATTTTGTATAAATTCAAACTTTTAAAAATTTATAAAGACTCATTTTGGGGCCTAAGATACAGTTAGTTTATCTATGTGTGCTATGTACATTTGAGTAAATGGTGTATTTTGTTATTGTTTTATGTAAATATATCTGATAGATTCAATGAATCTATAGTGTTATTCACATCTGCATTAGTCTGTTCTCATTCTGCTATAAAGGTCTGCCTGACATTGGATAATTTATAAAGGAAAGAGGTTTAATTGACTTTCACATGGCTGGAGAGGCCTCAGGCAACTTACAATCATGGTGAAAGGGGAAGCAAACACATCCTTCTTTACCTGGTGGCAGGAAGGAGAAGTGCCAAGCAAAAGGGGGAAAGGCCCCTTATAAAACCATCAGATCTCATGAGAACTCATTCACCACCATGAGAAAAGCAGCATGGGGATAATTACCCCCATTACCCTCCATTACCAGGTTCAATTACCTTCAACCTGGTCCCTCCCATGATGTGGGAATTATGGGAACAACAATTCAAAATGAGATTTGTATGGGGACACAGCCAAACTATATCAACATCCTCTATTTTCTTTTTTTTGAGATGGAGTTTTCGCTCTTGTAACACAGGCTGGAGTGCAATGGCGCGATCTCGGCTCACCACAACCTCCACCTCCTGGGTTCAGGCAATTCTCCTGCCTCAGCCTCCTGAGTAGCTGGGATTACAGGCACACGCCACCATGCCCAGCTAATTTTTTGTATTTTTAGAGACGGGGTTTCACCATGTTGACCAGGATGGTCTCGATCTCTAGACCTCGTGATCCACCCGCCTCGGCCTCCCAAAGTGCTGGGATTACAGGCTTGAGCCACTGCACCTGGCCAACATCCTCTATTTTCTTATTTTGTTTAGTTGTCTCTCTATGATTTAAAATGGCCTATTAAAGTCCTTTATTATTATTGTAGAGCTGTTTATTTCCTGCTCAATTCTGTTAGTATTTATTTTATATATTTTGGAGCTCTGATGTTGATGCATACAGATGCTCCTTAACTTACAATGGGGTTACTTCTCAACAGACCCATTTTAAATGAAAAATATGATACATTGAAAATTCATTGAACACATCCAACCTACCAAACATCATAGCTTATCCTAGCCTACCTTAAATGTTCTCAGAACACATACATTAGCCTGCAGTTTAGCAAAATCATCTAACACAAAGCGTTCAAAATATTGTATAATATATTGAATACTGTACTGAATGTTTGCTTTCACACTGTCATAAAGTTAAAAAATTGTAAGTTGAATTATCATTAAGCTGGAGACCATTTATATATATTTTTAATTATTATCTCTTCCTGGTGAATTGATGCTATTATCATCATATAATGTCCTATTTTTTTTTCTCGCTTTTGGTTTCTATTTGCAATGGTGTATTTTTTTCCATTCTTTCACGTTCAACCTACATGTATTCTTAGATCTAAAGTGAATATCTTGTGAATAATGTACAGTTGGATTCTGTTTTTAAAATCCATTTTGTCATTCTATATCTTTTGATTAAAGTGTTTAACCCAGTTATACTTCAAGTAATTAGAATAAAGATGTTCTTTTGCCATGTTGTTGTTTTTTGCATCTTACAGTTTGTCCTTCATTTCTTCCATTACTGTCTTCCTTTGTATTTAGTTGAGCTTTTTAGTGACTCATTTTGATTCAGTTCTAATTTCTTTTTATGTATATTTTATGGATATTTTCTTTGTGGTTACCTACAAGGATTATGTATAACATCCTAAAGCTAAGATTCTGTTTTTTAATTGATACTGAGTTAACTTAATTGCATACAAAAACTCTACTCTTTAACACGTTTACTCCATAATCAGTTTTTGTTATTGAGGTCCCAAATTGTATCTTTTCATTTTCTGTACCTATTCACATAAATTTATAATCTGTTTTATGCATTTGTCTTTTAAATTCCTTAGAAATTAAAAAGTGGATATATGAGCTAAATTATAATACTGTCTTTTATATTTGATCATGTATTTACATTTGTTAAAAATTATGTAGTCTCATATGTGTCTGAGATACTGTTTAGTATTATTTCATTTTTCTTTTTAACTTGAAGAACTTTCTTTGGTATTTCTTTCCACGTAGGTCTAGTTTTAATGTATTCCCTCAGCTCTTTTTCTTGTCTTGGAATATCTTAATTTCTCCTCATTTTTGAAGAACATTTTTTTTCTGGATGTAGAGTTCTTGTTTGACCATATTTTTTTATATCATCTAACTGTCTCTTGGCTTATAACTAATGAGAAAACCACTAATAATATTATGAGGGTTATTTGTACATAATGTATTACTTTCCTTTTTCTACTTTAAATATTCTCTTTGTCTTCTGAATGTTTAATATGTGTCTTGATGTGGTATTTTTGTGTTTGTTCTGCTTGAGGTTAAGCTTCTAGAATTTGTGTATGAATTTATAATTCTTCAAATTTAGTACATTTCAGCCATTTTTCCCCTAAAATAATCTGTTTCTTTCTCAGACTCTTCTTCTGGAATTTACATAATGTGTATATTGTTCTGCTTGATGGTGTTTTCAAAATCCGTTAGGCATTGCTCACTTTTTTTCCAGTATTTTCTCCTTTTGGTCTTTAGACTTGATAACTTCAGATGACTTACATTCTAGTTCAATGTTTGTTTCTTCTGTCTGTCCAAGTATGCTGTTGAACTTCTCTAAAACTTTTTAAAATTCAGTTATTGTTCCAGAATTAATTTTTAATTTTTATTAGCATACAATACTTGTACATGTTTATGGGGTGCATGTGATGTTTTAATACAGGTATACAACGTGCAACAATCAAGTCAGGGTAATTGGGGTATCCATTACCTCAACCATATATTGTGTCTTGTGTTATATGTTAAGAATAGTCTGATCCCACTCTTTCAGTTATTTTAGAATATGTAATAAATTATTATTAACTCTAGTTGCCCTAATATGCTACCAAAACCAGAATTTGTTTGGTTCTTTTTTATAAATTCTCTGTTAATATTTTAATTTTGTTCATATATATATATATTTCCTAATTTCCTTAGTTCTTTGTTTCTACATTCTTGAACATATTTAAGATGGTTGTCTTAAAGTCTTTGCCATGTAGGTCCAACTGATATGCTTCTTCAGAAACATTTTCTGGGTATTTTATTCTTTCAAATGAGCTAAATTTCCCTAGTTTTTTTGTATGCTTAGTGATCTCTAGCGTTTGCTGATTGATGTGGAAAATCTTTACTAATTAGTGGGACTTTGAGCCTTGGAAACAGTCCAAAGTGAAAACTTAAGATTTTTTCAGATCTTTGCTGTGCATGCAGCTTTCAGGCCTGTTTGTGCTTCCCCAAACCCAATTTTCCTGAGCTGCTTTTAAATGATTTAATTTCACAAAGAGTCACTCATTGCTCCTTCTCAGGAACTCAGATATTCTACAGATCTCTCTCTTCTCATAATTTCTTGCCCAAGATGTTTATGGTTCTACACTCCCCCTGTAGTTTTCATGCATTGTGGCAGTTATCCACTACTTTCTGTAGTTTGCAGGCTTAAAATCAAACGATGACACCATTGCCTATTTGAGTTCCTAGTCAGGTGAAACAAAAATAATTTCCTAAAAAAAGCCCATAGATAAGTCAGAACAAGATCTATTCTGCTTTTTCAACCAAAGGGACTCTTGACTGTGTTATACCATGCTGGGAAGAAGTTGAGTCTAAGAACAAGCTAAACTACACATTTTCTTCTTCTTCTTTTTTTTTTTTTTTTTTACTATTTTGAATGTGTTTTTCCCTTTCTTTCTTCCTCCTTCCATTTCTTCACACATCTCTCCCTCCCTTCCTTCCCTTTTTTCTTTCCTCATTTCTTTCTCTTTCTCTCATACTCTTTTTCCTCTCTTTTCTTACTTCCTCTTTCACCTCCTTTCTCCTCCTCCCTCCCTTCCTTCCTTCCTTTCTTCCTTCCTTCCTTTTTTTTTCTTTCTCTCTCTCTCTCTATCACTTTGTTTTCTAGGCTAATGTGCAGTGTAAAATTATAGCTCACTGTAACTTCTCAAGCAATTCTGGGCTCATGCAATTCTGTCACCTCAGCCTCCTAGCACTAGGTGCACATACATGACCATTCCAGCTAATTTTGTATTACTTTATTTTATTAGTTTGCTGTGTTGCCCAAGCTAGGTTCAAACTCCTTGCCTCAAGCAATCCTCATGCCTCTGCCTCCCAAAGAGGTGGAATTACAAGCATGACGCACTATGCCCAGCCAGCTTTTTCTTGATTCAGTATTTATTTGGTTGCTGCAGACTGTTTTCCAGAGCTGTTATAAAGTTGTGTTAGTCAGTTTGTAGTTGCTTATGTTTTGTTTCCATGGGAAAATCAGAACCTTGAGCTTCCTGGTATTATCTTGCTTTAAAATTATTTTTATTTAATATTATTTATGCCTGCTTTTTACTTCACTGATATAACCAATAGAGAGTTTCCAACATTACTAGTTATGTATGTTACAATAACATGTTATGCAGGAGAAGAGAGAAAATGGTGAGTCAAAATAGGGTTATGTCAAAAAAAAAAATACAATTCCAGCATGCTGAGTGAAAAAAATAAATCATTCGGTAGATTTTTCTGTGTATATCATCAGTACTTCTCACCATCTTTTCTAAGTTATGTACAATTTTATAAATTTAAGCACAATTTAAGATATTTTCACTATTCTTGATAGTTATTAATCAGATTACAAGTCTACAGGGCACTTTGTTCCTCCTTGTCCCCTATAACTGTGGTCCATATTTTGCCGCTAGTGTCATCCACACTTGGATTGTCTTTCACTTGCATAAGTGCTATCCATTCTTAAAGAGTCATATCAAACTCCATTGCTTTCTATTATTTATCTCTGAATGCTCCAACTTACATTTCTTGCTCATTCCTTTGGATTCTTCTTATAGGCAATGAACACTAGCTTTGTGAAGAGAGCTAAGCATGGCCCCTTTTGTACTGATACTACATACTCTATTTCTGGGCCATTACCTCTCTCTCATGTTAGAAAATAACCTACTACATTAACAAACACTTTAATAAGACTACAAAGAAGATATACTAGAAACTGGTTTCAAAACTGGGACATATAGGCCAGGTATCTGATGAGCAAATAGCAATACGTGGCTTTGGAATTATCCGCAGTAGGGTTCCAATGAAAGAAAGAAGTGAGGGAAGGTCTGAAGCTAAATACTTTCTCAGTCACAATTTTGCCAGGGGTCCCATTCTACCCATAAGCTCTAGTTTATCAAATTTCTATAGTTGAACTGCTTTAATTTCATGTACCCAGTAGATGAAATGAGATCTTCTTGGTTGTATGAAGATGAACTCATAATTCTGTGTATGAAGTAATGTGGTGGTTCAGTAAGAAGATTCTTCTCTTCTTTCTGGAAAAGGACAAATCAGCTATTACTCTAAATGGAGTTTGAGATATACTTTCTTACCTTATGACATCTTTTTGCCATATAATCTACATTTTAACAGAACAAAGTTTTAGAAATTACTTAAAAGATGGATGCACCCTATATTTCTAATTAAAAAGTGTATTTGAATATAATTAATTTGAAATAATTCAGTGAAGATTACCCAAATTATGATACTGGATTTTGAACAAATTTTAAACATAAATCTAGAACAATGTTGAAATCTACCTCTAAACTTTAAAAACATTTAAAATCATATATTATGGGGTTCAAAAAGAGGAAGAACACAGATACAGCTCTGATCAATTAGGTATCTTGCCAGATCAATCATCTTAACACATATTTTGATCTATTTGTTGCAAAGTCATGTGTACTTCTGAATTGAGCAGAGTTAAATTTCTGTTATTTTCTGTAGTTAATCTAAGCTTTTGTTTTACCTTAGAATCACATCAAATGGATAATCAAGAGAATGGCCTCATCAGAATACTGAAAATAACATATTCTCCAAAAACATGTTATGGTATAGATTTTTGGACAGGACCAAACTCAGAAGGTCATTGAGACCCAGACCATCATTTGAGGGTTTGGAGCCAGCATCAAGAGATGTTAACCATGCTGATAGCAGAGATTATGGGCTAATTGTAAGGGTGATATTTAAAATATATAAATTATCTGGTTGGGTAAGTTGGTTATATAGCTTACCAAAAGGTCACATAGCTATTAAGAGTCAGGATTCAAACCTAAGCAGTCTGAATCTCTGTGGATCTTTTTTTCTTCCTCCTATTCAGAGCCAATCTTCTGCTGCTGTTTTAGTGGCATTAGCCTCACCACACAAAATGTTGAATGATTACTTACCAGCGAAAATACAAAAGGGTGGAAACCAATTGTTTTAAATAATTAGTTTACATTTTTCTTATACATTTCATTTTCTCTTTTCTTTGAGATTCTAATTAATCTAGTTTTTCCCCTATTATTTGCTTTCCTACAGTTGAGATTCACAGCTGTGCCTGGTAATTATTTCCCTTATTCTGTAAATATCATCAGGCTTGAGACTGAATTCATTCTTTTCTGACTAAGCAAGATACATTATTGGGCCATATTTGAAAAGCTGCCTCCCCTTTCTTGTCACTAACTGTCATGCTTCTCACTTACCTTACACAATGGCTTTCCAAGATGAAGAGGCTGTTTCAGGCATGGCTTTTTTTATGGCCATGTCAAGCTCAGCAGCAGCTCTTTTAACATGTTTCTCCTTAGATTCTATTACCTGATTTGAGGTTGCTTCAATACTTTCAGTATTTGCACTGGCTGTGGTCTGACAGCATTTACTTAGTGACGAAAGCTTTTTCAGTCTGCTAGTGCTTAGTGCTGACTTAGGAGAAACTTTGTTTTCTTCTGGCTTCTTGACTTTTACTTGATCTTTAAATACTTCGATGCCTTCTTCTTCTGCCACAGTCTCTCTTAAAACAACTTCATCTTCATCAGAATCGAGTTCTTCTTTTATGTAGTTTTCCAAATCCACTCGATCAATATCATGAACCACTAATCGAACAATAAGATCGTTTTTGCTTTGCACATCTTTTAAGAGCTCCACCCTTGTAATATCAGGCTTTCTTATATTCGGAAATGAATTTCTGCGAACAGTCTGAAAATAAAGGTATAGCAAATCTAAATCACTTTTCCTGTAGTTTGATTATAATGTAGCTATGTTCCTGTGGTTTCTAGTTTTGATTTAAGTAATATCTTCGATTATCACTTAATTATATATTAGAAATATTTTAAAATAAAGTCAAATAAAAAATATTTGTTGGCATGCATCACTTTTTTACATTTATATACATCAATCTAATCTAACTTACTCCAAAAGTCAGAGCAAGATTTAACATAATTAAATTACTTCTTCTTTGTCATTTATCTTGAACATTTTATGACAGAAGGAGACAGGATAACCCATTTTCCGAAAATCCTAGGTAAGGAATTATAAAGAAATCTAAATATACATACTTTCTTTTCTTTCTTTTGTTTTTTTAGTCTCTCTTTGTTACCCAGATTGGAGTGCAGTGATGCGATCTTGGCTCACTGCAACCTCCGACTCCCAGGTTCCAGTGACTCTCCTATCTTAGCCTCCTGAGGAGCTAGGACTACGGGAGTGCGGCTAATTTTTGTATTCTTTTGTAGAGACAGGGTTTCATCATATTGGCCAGGCTGGTCTTTCTTTCTCTTCTCTGCTGTGCCCTTTGTCGAAGATAGATAATATTGGTAGCCAGACTGGGGCAAATAACATGTCTTAACTGAGTTGCCCATGTCTGCTTCTTTATTGTGTTATTTTAGGATGGCTTTTCCTTCCTTGAACAGGACAGTGGTATTTGTTTTAGTTTAAATATTCCTTTCTTGCACTCTGTGGTTATAAATGACTCAAGTAAAGAAGGCTTGTAACTAAGAATAAGATTTGTGGCAGATAATTCTATAGATAATTGAGTTTAGTTAATGTTATCTTATAGTCTGTTCACTTAATTTTTTTCCCAGGCAATAATTTATATATAAATGAAGACTACCAAGTATATGCTAATATAATGATGAGAACCCAGATTAAAAATAAAATTTAGGAGCTGGAAGAGACCATCATTTCTTCCAAAAAAGCAATAAAGAAGTTTTAACCATGATAAACTAAGAATTTTGGTATGTGTTAGGTCACTATTGTGATGCTCTAAATACCAGAGACTGGGTAATTTATTAGAAAAGACATTTAATTGTCTCTCATTTCTGCAGGTTTTACTGAAAAAATAGTGGCATCTGCTTCTTAGGAAGCCTCCAATCATGGCAGAAGGCAAAGGGGAAACAGGCATGTCACATGGAGATAGCAGGGGCAATAGAGTTGGGGGCAGTTGCCACACAATTTTAAATGACCAAGTAGCATGAGGACTCACTCACTATCATGAAGACAGCACTAAAGCATGAGAGATCCATCCCCCTGACCCAAGCATCTCCCACCAGGCCTCCTCTTCCATCATTGTGGATTATAATTCAACATGAGATTTGATAGGGGAACAAATATCCAAACTATATCATTCTGCCCATGACTCCTCACAAATCCCTCATCCTCTCACACCACAAAACACAATAAAAAACAAGACAATGGGAGTACAGGCATTGGGCAAACATTCATGTTTGAAAAGGGAGAAATTGGCCTGATGGAAGGGGCTACAGGCCTCATGCAAGTCCAAAATCCAGAAGTGCTTCATTAAATCTTAAAGCTCCAAAATAATTTCCTTAGACTCTATGTCCAACATATAGGGCACAATGATGGGAGGGGTGAGCTCTCAAAGCCTTGGGCAGCCCCACCCCTGTGTTTTTGCAGGATGCAGCCCTGATAGATGCTCTTGGGAGACTGCTGAGTGCCTGAGGCTTTTCCACGCTGAGGTTGCAGGATACTGGTGGATCTACCATTCTGGGGTCTGCAGAATGCAAAATCTCTTTCAACAACTCCACTGAGAAGTGCTCCAGTGGGACCTTCAATCTTACATGTTCCCCCTGCATGCCCTGGTAAAAGTTCTCTGTAAGGGCTCCACTCCTGCAGCAGGCTTCTGCTTGGGCATACAGGTTTTTCCATACTGGCTGAGAAGCCTCATTTATTCTTGGATTCTGTGTGCCTATATGCTTAATACCACATGGAAACCACCGAGGCTACAGCTTGCAGCCCATGCTGTAACTGGGCCCCTTTGAGCCATAGCTGGAAAAGGGAAAAGGAACCACGGGGATGTGAGCAGTGGAGTTCTGAGGCTGCAGAGCCCATGAAACCATTCTTTCCTCCTAAGCCTCTTTAACTGAAATAAAACAGATTGCAGTGAGAGCCTCTGAACTGCCTTTGAAGCCTTTTCTCCATTGTCTTGAATATTAGCACTTAGCTCTCTTTCAGTTTTGCAAGTTTCTTTAACAAGTGATAGTTCCACAGCCGCCTTTAATTTCTCTCAACAAACAAACAAACAAACAAAAACAAAAACAAAAAACCAAAACTTTTTCTTTCTTTGCCATATGGCTGAATTCAGTTTTGCAAGTTTCTTTAACAAGTGATAGTTCCACAGCCTTCTTGAATATGGCTGAATTTTCTTCTTCTTTGAGATGGAGTCTCACTTTGTCACCCAGGCTGGAGTTCAGTGGCATGATCTTGGCTCACTGCAACTTCTGCCTCTTGGGTTTAAGTGATTCCCATGCCTCAGCCTCTGATATAGCTGGAACTACAGGCATGTGCCACCACAAACAGCTAATTTTTGTATTTTTAGTGGAGAGGTGGTTTCACCATATTGTCCAGACTGATCTCAAACTTCTGCCCTCAAGGGCCCCAGCCACTTCGGCCTCCAAAAGTGCTGGGATTACAGGTGTGAACCACTATGCCCAGCCAATTTTCCAGACTTTATGCTCTGCTTCCTTTTTAAATATAAATTCCAAATGTTTAAGTCATTCCTCCTGCATTTGAGAACAGGCTATTAGAAGCAGCCAGGTCATATGTTGAATGCTTCATTTATGAGAAATTTTTTCTGTCAGTTATCCTAGGTTATCATTCACATGTTCAAACTCCATAGAACTCCAGGGCATGGACACAATGCAGCCAAGTGTTTTGTCAAGGCATAACAAAGGTGACCTTTGCTCTAGTTCCCAATAAATTCCTCATTTCCATCAGAGACCTTATCAGCCTCAACTTCATTGTCCATATCACCATTGTCCCTCAGCCTTTTGGTCACAACCATTTATCCAATCTCTAAGAAGTTCCAAACTCTCCTTAATCTTCCTGTCTTCTTCTGAGTCTCCAAACGCTTCCAGCCTCTGTCTGTTAACCAGTTCCAAAGGTGCTGGTTAACAGAAAAATATTTTCAGTTACTGCCCCACTCCTTAGTACCAATTTTCTGTGTTACACCATTCTTCCACTGCTATAAAGAAATTCCTGAGAGGTTTTATATATATAATATATATATAATATATAAGATAGTATATATTACCTTATATGTATTAAATTACCTTATATATATTAATATATACTAATAATATTTATATATATGCATACGTTTCTGGTGAGGCCTGAGGAAGCTTCCAATCATGATTGAAAATGAATTAAGAGGAGACACATCACATGGCAAAGGCAGGAGAAAAAGACTGTGTGTGTGTTGGGAGGGTAGGCGCCACACACTTTTAAATGACCAATCTTGAAAGAACTCACTACTGCAAAGATGGCCATGAAAGGTCGGTCCCCATAACCCAGACACCTTACATCAGTATCCACATCCAGCACTGGGGGTTACAATTCAACATGAGATTTGGGCAGGAATAAATATCAAACTATACCAGGGTGTGAAAACTTAAAACATTAATTAACTTATTTACTAGCTTTGAGATTCAGTTTAGTGGGTTGCAGAAGATTGCTGAAAAAATTTACTCTAAGCTTATGCCCCAGAAGGCATGGTTCTATAAAACTTTGCTAATTGTCCAGGCTACGAACTACATGACTCAGTCCTCTCACAAATGCACACCATCAGTTAAAGGGATTTTAATACATGTCAAAAATCCCTGATGGATAAGTGCAAACTACTTGTTTGTGAGACAAATCTTTGGTCTTCAGTAGTAGTTTCCTTGTAATAAGGACATTATTTTTGACATTTTAAATTCTCATTTAAAATATTTGGGGCCTGAGTATACACAGATTAGGACTCAAGCAATAGAAAAGAGGCTTATAAAAACAGGAGCACTAATGCAGCTGGGGTTAGATAAAATAAGTGAGTAAGCATGAAAAAAATGGATACATCTTCAGAGACCAGGGCAAATGGGAAAGGGTAATATTATTGAAGTAAAATAGGACAAATGTAATCTAAGAGTTTGCAGTCTAATGTTTGCTGATAAATTTTACTGAAAGAAAATGAGTACTACTCTGCAGCCTTAAATTTGAAAATTAAAACTATTTTAGATTGTTTTATATATCCTGATATTCTTTTAACTGGCCTTAGATATCCATAACAAACTAAGGAACTACACAAGGTTGCTACTTCTAAATATTCAAATGGCAATTACAACTCTGGTCAGTCTGGTTTTACTGTGAAGGGTATATGCTTATCGTCACGTTCTTAAAAAAAAAGTTCAAAACAGTTGTCTTAGGAAAACCAGCCTGAGACTTTTAGAGTGAGCTACAGAAGTAACATGGCAAATCCTAGTAATTAATACGATTGTATGGATGAACCAATGCAACCAGTTCTCCTATTGGGCTGAGCAATAGCAACAACAATGAATGCATGTCCATATACTTATTTGAGGAAAGAAATCACAGAAGAACCATGTCTCACTATCCACTCATTTTCCTGCCATTATTTTTGCACTTACCTCTAAGGGTTTTACATTTAGTCTTCCAGTCTTATCCAATGAGGTACGTCTTTCTCTCTTTCTATTTTCTAAATTCGGTGATTCTGAGTAGTAATTTCTCCCACTTATTAATGGCTCTTCTCAGTTCTGCTATGCTACGTCCAGTTCTTTTCAAACACTCCTCCTCAAGTTTCTCAAGAGGTTGAGTTTTTATAGAAATAACTGCTAAGTGTTCAGAAATAATTTTTGGATCTATTTTGACTGGTTTTTTCCCAACATGAGGAACTATTTTAATAGGATATTCCTCTTCAGATGAAACTTGATCTAACTGTTCTTCCTCCGATTCAGGAATCATATTAATAGCATGTTCTCGTGCCTTTTGAACAATTCTGTTAATGTCTAGCTCTCCAGAGAGATCAGCATTTGAAATTATTGAGCCAATTTTATCTAATGGAAAACTTGAAACTCCATCAATAATTAAACTAGCCACTTTTTTAGGAAAGACTGTGTTTGTATCTTTTATATCATAATAAAGTTCTTTGTTGGTTCCTGATTGTTGTAGTATGTTACTATAAACAGAATTAACAACCTGATAAACCCTTTCTATATTTTCTGGATTTAAACAGTGTTTTTCAGAGACTAATGCTACGTCTGGAAATTTCATCTGTTACAGATTTTGTCAGTTGAGATGCAATTTTATTTAACTCAGGCTTTGATAAGTTTTTTTCATCTATGTTTGAGGAACTTGGCAACCTTACTAGTTTAGCCAAGAACAAGGCCAACACCTCTTCTAAAAGTTTGACATCTAATGTCAAACCTTTTCTGAATGAAGACTTTTCCTGAGACTTAAGTTCATCAATAATTTTGGTCACTTTTTCCATAATTCTGACAGCTTCCAGAACTAATTCTGAATTTGATACTTCTTCCTCTACTTGAGGTTGAAATTCAGAATTGGATATTACATTCACCAATAAAAAGCCTATTATATCTGAGAGGACACTACCTTTACCCATTAAATCTTTAAATATCGAAGTAAAAGAACCAAAGTGCTTTAAAACACTGGTAAAAACAGAATTAACTATGTTTTCAATAGTTGCATTATCAGCTACAGGTACAGTAGGTCTTGGTGGGTGCTACAAGTTTAATCTTACTTTTAAAGATAAATTCTTGGACTGAATTTAATACTTTTGAAGTTATTTTTAGCATTTCAGTTTCTAAGGATTTGGTTTTTTCTTTATGCACTTTTGGAAATACAGATAAAAGTTTTGATAAAAATTTCACAGCAATTTCTTCTATTATGTTATAAGACAGCTTATGAGCATGTGATGGTTTAGGTAAGGGCACATCAGTAGTTTGGAAAACATCTTTAAGGATATTTTCAACTTCCACACACTGATGTGGAGTTAGCTCTCCACAAAAATAGCTCTGCAAATGATTGCCAGCCACTTCTCGTAGAACCAAGTCAACTATGGTTTCTGAAAGGATTTTGCATCCACTGATGACACAATTCTGTATGATCTCTTGTGATCCAAACTGTAGCAAGAGATTGTTATAAACAGACTGAACCACTAACTGAGTAATTTCATGATCATCAGATTGTAAGGATTCTACATACTGTTATAATCAAATGTTTATTTTGGGAGATCTCTGTTGCAACTGCACTTACTAACTTAATTTGAAAGAAATCCAGTTCTGTGAACAAATTGTCCTCAAGTTTTCTTGTTTCTGTGCTGGATATTATTGAGAAAATTTTAGATAAAAGAACAGAAATCACATTCTCTAAAAATTTATGAGGTAATATTATTGTATATGGTGATAAAGTTTGACATTCTTTGCTGGCTGTTTGGGCCAACTTTTGGACCTTTTTAACAACATCCTTAGATTCCAGAGGCAAACATGCTGAAGCTGAAACCTCATCACAAAATATCAAGTTAAGCTGATGTTGAAAAATTTCATTTATCACTGCACTAGTTAGTCTTCTTGCTAAATTTTCTCCATTACTGTTTATATTCTTACAAATAGAGTCTTGAGATCCATATTCATTTAAAATATTACAAACAGAAGAGTGAACAACTTTATTGACCAATGTTTTGTCAGTTGATGGTATCTTAACTGAAGGTTTTAGTCATTTTATCGACAGGTGGCATTTTATCCGCGGATTTTATCTTAATGCTGGATGGTGCTTCATCTGTTGTTGGCTCTTTTCCCACAGGTGGGAAAAACTGATTCCCCTTGTCTGGTCTGAAAACCGTAATTTGAGCATCTGAAAACTCCTTTAATAGTGAATTGATGAGTTTCATAGCAGTGTCATAGAGTTCAGCTTGATTTTTCTCATCACGGACATTTTGACCTCTATCTTGTATTTGTGTTTCTGGTATAGAAGAAAAGATCAATTTTTTAACCATCTCAGTAATAACATCTTCTAAAAATTTAGCAGGAAAAATTCCAGGTTTATTTTTTGGTTGGTACTGAGGGCTGTCTGGTTTTCTGGGTTCACTTTTAATCTCCTCTCTTACTTCCTCTTTTTCGCTCTCTTTCTCTTCTTTTTCTTTGGCAGGGACATTTTTGTTAGTTGAGAAGGATACGTTTTTTGTTGTAACAGACTGTGCTGAATCCCTTGACCTCCTGAATTACATTTAATGCATTATCACCTGGGGGGCTTTTGTCATAACTGAGTGTTGAATAATATGCTGGTTCTGGAGAAGATCGTTGTAAAACATCCCCATAAATATTTTCAATGACATATTGAACATTTTCATAATCTGAGTGGTGTTCCTCATCCATATCTGTTTGGGTTGGAGACTCTCTTCTCCCTTCATTGCTTTGAGTCCCTATTTCCAAAGTCTCCGTTGTAGTCCTTAAATTTCTCCTGGACTTTGAAGAAGGTAACTGAAAGACCTTCCCATCTTTTTTAAATGATCTTTCTTTTGCACTGTCAATCTTCTTTTTATAGCCTATTTCAGAATCTGATCCAAGTACTTCCTTCTCATATTCTATATTATCAATTATTAAGGGAAAATGTGTGTGTACCTCATCATCCTGCCCTTCTTTATATTTTGGAATTAAATTTCTTTTCTTCTCGATTTCATTATTTTTAAATGTTTCACTCAAATTTGGTCTTTACTTTTCACACTAGTAGTTAAAGAAGTGATTTTTGATACATTCTCACTATGTTTTTGAGTACAAATTCCCACTTTATTTCCATCCACTTTCTTCTTATTTGTCGCACCTGTGGCTGACTCTGATATCAGTTTAATTATGCTGCTTTTCATAATTGCATTTGTAGAGCCAAGTACTGGATTTTGGATGTCCCCTTTTGTCATTGATGTGTCCTTGGTTTTAAAACTTTTCTTTCTACTCACTGTACCTCTATTTATTTGCAAAGGGCTCATTGTGCTTTTGCAGTCTGAGGTGGAAGAAGTATCTTTATATGATTGATCTGATAAAGGGAGTTGGTTCTCTGTTAAGCATCTGCTTATTTGTGTAGAGGTGTTTTGTGGTAGATGTCGAACCCTCTGGGTGATATTATCTGGATTTAGAAATGAAAAGAAGGTGGAAGACCAGTCTCCTGAAAAAAGTGGTTGAATCTTGAATGTAGACATTGCCTTCTGAGCTAGAGAAGCAATCATCCCTATAGCAATGTTACTTTCATCACCTTTCTGAGTATTATTAGATGTGAATTTTTCTATGAACTGATCATATACAAAATTGGATATTTTATCAACTGTCTCTTTATCAACTGGTGGAAAAGAAAACATTTTCTCAGCATTTGGTAAAACTTTTATTTGACTTTTTTTAAATTCCCTTATCAGAGAATTTGCAAATTTTAGAGCCAACCCCATAATATCTGGCTCTGCCATTTCTTTTTTCCTAGAATCTTCAGCAGTAACAGGGAGACAACAAAATTTGTGAACCAGGTTAATGATTATGTCTTCCAAAATGTAGCTGAATATAGAGAGGGCTGTGTCTTTTCTTTACCAGATTTAGCAAGTTCAGAGACATGGTCATGATTGGGTAAGTCACTGAAAGATGATTCTTCACCATGGAAAAATGGCTGTAAATGATGATACATGATTTCCTTCATAATAAAACCAGCTATTTTACTGAGGAGCATCCTTTTTTGCCTGCATCTTTTTGTACTTCAGCTTGGAATTCAGAAGTTTTCAAAATATTATTACATATAGAGTCGACCAAATTTTCAATAGGTTCTAACTGCATACTTTCTGCATTATCCTCTGCCATGGAAAGTCGAACTTCATGTTCAGAAATTTCTTTTATAATTTCATCAGTCAATTTTGAAACTGCATCCACAAGTTCATCATCTGGTGAAATCTCTTCCTCTTTTAGTTCATTTTCAGTGTGAGTTGAAGGGAAGTTATGCACTAGAAGCCTGTAAATTATGTCTTCTAAAAGAGAATGAGGCCACACAGTCATATATGATGGCAAGGCATGGCTATCCTTTGTGATTAGGTTAAGCACATTTCTGATGATATTATCAGCTTGGGGGTAAGAATAAGAAGACAATGGCAATTCTCCTGAAACTAATGACTGCACCTGATAGTCATAAATTTCTTCCAATAGCAAATAATATATTTTCCTACCAAAGTGTCACTTTGTATAACCCTGTGTATTTGAATCAGAGATTTATATTGATCTAACATTTTTCCATATACTGAGATGACTGTTTTTTGTACCATTTCTTTATATCTTTCTGAGAAAGGTAAATTTTCATCAAAGTTATCTGCAACTGAAATCTCTGATTTGGTGAACTCCAGAACAATTGAATTTACCAACGTTGTAACAATGCTGGTAAGTTCAGGTTTCACTCTATCTGGATTTTCAGTAACCAACATATTATGTGAAAATGCATAAAGAATTTTGCATAAAAGTTCAGAAATTACTTCCTCCAAAAAGACAGATGAGTTCACAGTAAAAGATAATTCTCTTTGTTTAGGATCTATTGTTTTCAATTTGTAAGTTTGATCAACTGCAGCCAAAAGGAGAGTTTTATCTTCAGATAAAAATGATTGAATATGATGATTAAAGACTTCTTTTATTATAAAACTTGCTATTTTTGAAACAGGTATGTCACTTATGCAGCATAAATGGAATCAACCATAGACTGGATATCTTTTGCTGAAATCATACTCTGTCTTTTATTCCCATATTTAATAATACATATTTCATGTTTTGAAATTATTGACATAATTTCACTTATCAGTTTTATCACTGTATTACTTAAGTCTGATTTAGTAGTATCTGACTGTTCTGCACTGGTGTCCAATGGACTCATCTGAGATATAAGCTGAGTGACGATTTTTTCCAAATGACTATGTGATAACATATACGTTGTTGAAGCTTGTCTTTGGAATCTTGATTTACTTATATCATCTTGAACTCTCTTTATTAAAACATTTGTGCTGAGTTTGGAATGTGACTTAAAAGGCAGACTTGCTATAACATCTGGATGAATTTGGAAATCAAAAATTTCAGCCAGGATGATCCTAGTTATTCTGGTAGCCAATGTCTTTGTGTCATGTAGAAAATCTGGCAATACTTCCATTTCATATTCTTGCAAAACTTTGCTGTACACCATGTCAACAATTGTTTTGACTGCATCCCCTTCCACTGGAGGTAAACAAAATCTTTCCTCAGTATTATCTATAATGGTAACTTGGGCTTTTGCGAATTCCCCTGTTATCAAATGTATGAGTTCTTCAGCTTTCTCAAACAGTTCATCTTCTGAGTCTCCCATGGATTTTGTTTGTACAATGCCTACTACCCGATGGAATATTTTTCTTAAAACTCCAGAGATTACATCTTCCAAGAATGTTGAAGAGTAAACACTGGTATAAAATAACTGCCTTCTCTCATCATCAAAATATGTGTCTGATGAAGGTAATGATTTTCCATTCACAAATGGCTGAAGATGTTTTTGACATACATGTTTAATGATGAAGCCTGCTATTATTTCAATAAGAACATCATTACTGCTTGTGATATTTTGCGCAGCTGATTCTTGAGACCCAGAAGTTTGCACAATTTTCAAATACTGAGTCAACAAGGTGCTGAATATCATCTTCTGAATAAATAAATTTGTTTTTTTCTTCCTCTTTTGAAAATTGAATTTTATGTTGAGAAATTTTCAACCTAATATCACTAATTATGTTTGAAGCAGTTTCATTGAAATTCGATCTTGACAAATCTTTTTGGGTTTCTCTGTTTAGAGCCAGGCTAGATGCAGAAGAAAATAATTTAGATAATAGTACTCTGATCATATCTTCTAAAAATGTGTATGGCAGCAAGGTGTTATATAGAGGTAAACTCTGGCTTGGCTCAGTAGATTTACTGATGTTAGTAAGGATGTCCTGAACAATATTCTCAGCCACTGAATTAGAATCAGTAGAAGCTGACAAATTCCCAGAAAACAGAGGATGAAGAAGGTAGTCTGAAAAAGCTGCTACAATTAGATTGGTAATATTTTCCACAAAAATGCCACTATCTTCAGACTCTTTATCAATAGCAAGGTCTAGCCCATGCTAAGCATTTCTGTAAACTGAGGTGACAAGTTCATCCACAATATCTGTATTGAAAGAGGAGAAAGATTGTTCTTTGTCATCACAGAGAGTGTGAATTTTAGTTTTATCAAAATGGCTATTTACAGAGTTTACTATTCTTTGAGTCATGTTTTTCAACTCAATTTTGGTGTTATGGTTTGGGGTGAAAATCTTTGACAAAAGTCTGGCAACAATCTCCTTTACAAATGAATAAGGGGGAATACTTGAAGGTGATTGCTTCTGAGGTCTGTGTAACTCTGTCACTTCACTCAGAACCTGTTTAACCATAGTAGATACTGGATCCAGTGGATTCTTTGAATGACATAAAACCTCTCCACTCAAAATGGTTGAAGATGATTTTCAATAATCTCTTGGATGATAAAACCGGCTATTTGGTCAACCATAATTGGGTTTTGGCTTACTATACTTTTCTGTATAGAAACAACAGAGTCAGACATTTGCAAAATATTACCATAAACCATCTTCTGTAGGTTTTTTCCAGTGTATAGATATTTATTATCATATATTGTCAACCAGATTTTATGTTTTGAAATGGCTGACATAACCTTATTTACTATACAGGTGGACATTTCATTAAAATCTGAACCCATTAAATGTTTTTTTCCTAAAAGGGAACATGTAATGGGTGGAGGAATGAGCCGAGATAAAAGCCTTCTGATGACATCTTCTAAAAATGAATGTGATAACATGGTACTATAGTCTGATGAAGACCTGGGTAGGGAAGCAAATTCTCTCAGGTTATTTTGAAGCTTTTGCAATATAATTTCAGGTTTGAGAGGGTAACATGAATGGGGTATGAGAAATTCCCTGAGGAAAGATGGCAGTTTGTAGTCTAAAACCTCTAACAATATGCCATTTGTTATTTGTTCTGCTATTGAGGCATTGTCATATACCAGATCATTACTGCAGGCTACTTTTAATTCATACTGCTGTAAAACATCATAATAAGGAGGTGACAATTTTGTTAACAGTTTCTGTATGAACTGGTGGAAAACACAGTCTTTCTTCAGCATTCCGTAGAACAGTGACTTGAGCATTATTAAATTCATTCACTACGTTGTTGACAAATAATGTATTCATCTCACTGAGCCAGGACAGAGTGATGTTTTTATTTTTGCCCCACAATGCAGTAGAGAGATTAAAAAACAATTCTGAAATTATTCCTTCCAAAAATGTGGCTGAATAAACACCAGCATATATACCTTCCTGATGTAGCTTATTAGGAATGGCTACATTATCCATTTCTTTTGTTCTCTGGCTTTCAAGTGATGACATGGAAGAGGATTTCACTGCACAATGCTTGCCAAATGGTGCTTGCATTTTGGAGCTAACCACATTGGGATTATTCAGGGATACTGTCAAAGAATTACTGTCATAACTCCTGAGTCCTAAAGAATATTTACTTTGTCTTAATTCTGTTAATTCTGGCTTTCTTGCTTTGGTGAGTTTGGTAGTTCAAATGCTCATTTGCAAAAGGTAGACTTTCGGGAGCTTGTTGTATACTGTGAGATAATTTGTTCATCAATGATTTAACCAAGCTGTGGGAAATAATAGTAAGCATAGAGTCTGATGACAGTAAGTCTTGATCAATTTCTGCCACATTTTCCAAAAGGTCTGACATGTAATCTCCTTGAAGGCATTCACAGTTCATTCCTCTGTTACAATAATCAGATTTTCCATCTTCTATACTTTGAAGCATGTTTAAAAGTTGACATTCTTCTGCTGATGTTTCCTCTGAAAGAGATCCATTATCAAGAAAGACATTGCTTGTGCATTCTTCCAAAAGTATTCTGATAAGTTTCTCACATACAACACTTAGAAGAAAAACTGATTTTGAGGAGAGCTGTGAGTTATTTCTAAATATGCTATTAGGTTGTTCATTATTTGAGGAGGAGACAAATGTTCCTTGTAATTTACCAGAATCTGTCACTATCTAGGCATTCATCTGGTGAAAATAAATCTGAAACAATATTAAAAACTTTATTGACAACTTCTTTGGATTCACTGGTTTTTAGGTTACCAACCAGGCTGTTTAACTTACATGCAAGGTAATTTAATTTATTTTTTTGAAAAAGTTGATCAATTTGTTTCATTGATAACTTCCAGTCTCTGGGGCCTGCCTGTCTGTTGATTTTGTTGCAAATGTAAACACTATTATTTCTATGCATAGAAAATGATTTGTTTCTTCCATTTTTTTCAAGGTGATAATCTATTTCTATTTCTTTGGACAGTACATGAATCACTCCTAATAAGAGATCCTGAAAGAGGTCATCAAAGCCACTAGAAGCTATTCCTCGACAGTAAATGTATTTTGTTGGTATGGAAACCATTTTCTGTGCAATGTCAGCCTGTATAATTTTATTATTAAAAAGGATTTTAATAATGATTTCAGAAATACATAAAGCAAGTTTTCCAATGGAAATGTGCTCGCAAACACTTGAGAATGAATTGAAATAATCTTGATAAATGCTTCTTCATGAATTTCCCATGCTTTCTCTTTTTCTCTACCCTTCTTGGTGCCATTAGAAATGCTTGAAGTTAAATGATAAAGTACTGATTTAGTGAGATATTCACAACAATGATAAATTGAGGAATCATTATATATGTTTCCTAGGGGCTGTTTTGATTCATACTTTTTCCTTGACCATGTAGAAACCGTAGACATCTTCTCCTCACTAAAAACTTAAAAAAAAAAAAAAACATTGTAATTTTAGCATGCATTAAAGAAAATATAGAAAATTCAGTATATTGGTAATTATTTACATATATATTTCACCTTCTGGGAAACTCACTAAAGAAAAATTTAGAAAAAAAGAAATTGGATTTTCCTCAAATATTTATTTATCACCCTGTAGAATCTTAATTTTAGCCAGTAAGTTGAGAAAATAGCACCTGAAATTCAAACCGCTAAGTCAAATGCCTGGATGGTTATGAACTCTAAGAGGCTGAAAAACTTGGGGCAGAGAAATAATTTCCAGGTTAGTGATGCATCCTACCATGTCTCCAGCGATATCTAGAGGCTCCATATAATTATTTTGAAATATTTTTAGACAAAACATTTAATGTTTTGCTATGTTTTACTTTTAGGATACTAAGGAGTTGTGTTGCAATATCAAATTGACTAAAATAAAAGTGTGGCAACTCCAGGAAAGGTAGTAATAGATTGCAATAGCAGTAGTACTTTAGCCTCTAGATTATAGTTTGTCACAAAGAAGGAAGTTTAGCCAGCCAAGCAAAGAACTCTGTATTTGTTCTATCCAAAACTGTATTTGTTACAAATCACTACCTACTTGCAATGGCCAGCTTCTGGGTGTGGCAGCTATGAGCAACACAGTTGTTGTTTTTTTTCCCTCAGAACCTAATTATATGTTATATATCTTCATATGGTATCAGGCAAGACTGTATTGCAGGTAGAAGCCTGTAAGCTGAGCTTTGACTGCTACACAGGATTTGGCCATGTCAAAGTAAAGGGAATGAGGAATGATATTCCAAGTGAAAGAAAACATCAGTGAAGTCACTGGAAGACCTTGGAGATGTCTGAGAATAAGGAATGGAATTGATAGTCAAGCATCAATGTGATGAAATCATGGCTCTTCTCTTTATTTTTCTAAAATCTATTAGATCCTGCCTGGAGTACATCTATTTAAGAGTTTATAGTTGTAGCCTTATTATCATCCACCTTGGGAGAATACTGGTTTTAAGGATGGGATATAACCTCCTTGTGCAGGTGGGTAGGATTGCTAATATCTCCAATGAGAACGATGTGCAAGTGATGTATCTGGACTGTTGTAATAGCAACTAATTATTGGTAACTGAAACTACTGACCCAGTTCTGGGATGTTATAGTATTATTAAACTGAATTTTATTAAATGTCAATAATCAACAGTTTTCGATATACAAAGTGAGAATATTATATATTGTTTAACCTAATGTATACACATGAGCATTTTTAGAAAGATAATGCAAATATAATCCCTCTAATGATATGGTTGGAGTATTATACCTGAAAGGAATTTAAGTTGGAATACTGGAATGCAAACAAAACAAGATATTTAATTCTACTATTCTTTTAAACTATGAATAACAGTAGCAAAGCCTTCAATGATAACCCTTGAAAAGAAATGAAATGACTTTCAATCAGTTAACTGTACATGCCATGTGATTATAAAAAAGTTATGTGCAAGAATTTTTAAAAACACTTCCAAAGTTTTACCTCGTACTCAGCCAAAATCTCCTGCTTTAAAATTGTCTCATTTTCTCTCATTTGCAGATAGAGAAAACTGAGCAACACATCCTTCAAATTCAAACCCTGCAAACACTGAATTATTTATTTATTTGCATTGTGATAGATTAAAAAACACTTGAGGCCGAGCATGGTAGCTCACGCTTGTAATCCCAACACTTTGAGTGGGAAAAAAGAATCACTTGAAGCCAGGAATTTGAGTCCAGCCTGTGCAGTATAGCAATAACCTGTCTCTACAAAAATATTTTAAAAACTTAGAGTTCAGTGGCATGCTCTGTGGTCCCAGGTATTTTGGGGGAAGGCTGCGATGAGAGGATCTCTTCAGCCCAGGAGTTCAAGGCCGCAGGGAGCAATGATCATGCCACTGTATTCTAGCCTCAGTGACTGAGACACTATTTCTAAATAAAATAAAATAATACTTAAAATAAAATTAAAATGCAACCCAGTAGTCATCTATCTCCAAGACTATTTTCATAAAAATGTTGAATACAGCTTTTTAGACAGGAGATCCTTTAAACATAGCTTTTATTAGTTTTATTTCTAAATCATGACAACTTTTAGTCTAAGTTCTTTCTCGCTTACCTCTAGTTTCAAAGTTCGTCAAATATGTGACCACAGATGTGGTGACATGTCTTGCTATCAGATGAACTTCATTGGGACCTGATCTGCAAAAGTAAAGACTTCAACTTCTTTCAGAGTCTCTATGTTTGGGTAATTCTTTTTTCTCAATTTCTGCAGGAAAGAAGAATCTTCCCTGCTGGCTTCAAGGTTTTTGTTTTCTTCTTCAGATATATAGCTGATTATTTTATCCTGCATTCTAAGAACACTTTTTTCCTTACTCTCTTGTCCTCCAGATACTTCAGATAAAGAGCTTTGTTTTGATATGAAAAATGGCTTCATTATTTCCATATTCTCATTAGTGCGTGGTTGACTTGGAAAGCCACAGCTGGATAGCACAGTATTGACAATATTTTCTGCAGCTAAACATATTTTGAGTGGAGAAACGGTTGTCTGAATTTGATTTGGTTCAACAACTGGTTTTAGGGTATCATAATGAAACGCTCTTAGATTTTCACCTTTTCCCATTTCTCTGAATGACAAGACTTGCTTTAACGATGTTTCTGTGGAGCTGCTTGCTTTCCTAAACAGCTTTTTACTGCCTTCAGGGAGGGAGTTATTTTCTTTCGTGATCTCATCAAAATGACCAAAGTTAGATTTCCTTGGGCTGTGGTCTTGTACTTTGTTTCTAGAACATGATGGCATAGTTTCTGAATCAGGCCTTTTCGTTGGCTCTGAGTTTTTAAATCTGTCTTCTACAGAGGATCTGACAGAGGTGGGTAAATTTGATAAAACCCTGTACTTTTCTTTCATATCTTCATCTGAACAAAACATAAAGTCAGTTATAGTCACTTGTGAAGGATGAATCCCCAAACCACCTTCCTTTAACTTTGAGGTGAATGTTTTCATATTAGTTGCTAATACAAGCTGATTAACAACGTAGGCATTTTCAGCACCATGGAATAAACTTTCCTTTGAAGGGTTTTGTTTCAAAGACTCATTGAAATAAGTACACTGGTGTATTAGTGCGCCAATGATCTCACTTGCTACAATGTTCTCTTTCAATATGTTAATTGAAGATGGTTCCATTTTTCATTGTCTAGCTTGTTCTTAATTACAGCAAGCATGTCAATGATGATATTAACAGCATATGTCAGTAATTGTGAATGGAATGAATGAATCCGTAGAAGGATATCCTGTATGTTTTCCTTAAAAATAATAGTATTTGACTTGGATTCATCAGGAAACACTTTAAGTGGTTGTAATTTTGGCAACATTTCTTTGTTTAATAGTTTCTGTTGGGTAGAAAAAAGATTTTCTATAGGCATTTTCACAATTTCAGAAAACTCATATTTGGAGATAGGTTTAAACTGCAAGTCTACAAATGACTCTAACATGTTTAAAACCCTTTCTACAATCTCTTGAACAATGTGGTTGCTAGAGCCCATAGAACTTTGGTCTTCTGTCTTTGTGTTATAGATTGGTAAACTTCTGAGGCTATGCTTGTTTGGAAAACCATATTTATTTTTAGCTGTAATGTATTCTTTACTGTCTGCTAGAGTCTCTTTACTATCTGGAGTTGGATAGCTGTAATTTTTCAAATAGCATTTCAACAATTTCTCTTCCAAACATATTAATTTGTGCTTTGCTATCCTCAGCTCCAGTAGAAGCTCCTTTAAGATGATTATATAGCCTGCTTTCACAATTCTCAAGAGGTGGCAAATTTAAAAGTGAAAGAGAATATACTAATTCGTTTGCTTTTATTGAAATTTCATTCAAAACATTTTCGGCTATCATCAGTAGCTTACACTTTTCATTTTCCTTGTCATTTGATTCTGTTTGCCACTTCTCAAACAATTTTTTAAATATACCTTCTCTAGGAAAAATGTATTCTAGCTGTGAAGAAACGTTCTCCAAGTAAAAACATTCTTGTTTCACAAGGGATCCTGGGCTTATATTCCCCTGTGAAAGTTTGAGATGTGAGGATTTGATTGGATAAGCCAAATTGCAGTTATTTGTAACATATAATTCTTGCAAAACTGTATTAACTATTTTACCTGCTGCTAATCACATGGTAAGGCTTTGGTTTGCTTTACCTTTTCAAATTCCTTCACAATTGTTTCCAGGATATTAATTATTATATCTTTGGCATATATTTTTAGTTCTGAAGTGGGCAATTTTGCATCTAGTAAGTTTTTGGCGTCTCCAGTTGACATGATGTGTGACAACCCAATGGCAGTTTTGGATTGGCTGTCCTTTGGGGTCTCCTCTCTAAGACCTAACTTGGTTTTGCTTTTGGCCTTAGCAGCACTCAGTCCTAAGTGTGCTTTTTTTGTAAATTTAGGCAAAGTGGTAATTTTTGATCTTGCTTTTGAATTTGCTTGAAAGCATGGCTTAGGGCTGTCCTTAGGGTTGACCTTAAAAGTGTGTGGCCTTAAAAGCTTCAACTTATCAGCACAATGTTCAGGGGACAAACTCTCTTCTAGATGAAGTGAGACAAAATTTGTAATCTTATTGAGAACCATTTGAATTAAGTCTTTCTTCACTTGCAATGGTAAATTTCCATTACAGAGATATTTTGATTGTCTGCATAAGAAAAAGCCTGTGGTATCACATATTTAGGGGAATTATTTATTTTTCCTGCTTGTTTAGTTTCTCTAAACCTTAATGGTTTCATTGGTAAGGAATCATTGCAGTGAGATGTTTCAACTTCTCTCCTACTTTTATTTTCATATAATGATGTCACAACTACCAAGTACATTTTCCCCAAAACACTTTCAACTATGTCATTTGCTACACTGTTAATATGTGATTGAAAACTGTTCTTCTGTGTTGTGTCTAGTGTTTTAATTTTAGAATTAGATATAAAGTGAGAAGTTTCATTAAATGGAGGCAAATAGCCTATGACTTCCATTATTCTTTGATACAACTTATTCAAAAGTTCTTCCACTGCACTGAGCAGTTCAACTTTTTCTTTGTGTTTTGATTCTCCATTTCTCATAAATATTTCTTCCAAAACAATTATCTGGCTTTTGTTTTCCAAGTTTTGTTCTAATGGATACTTTGTAAACAGAGATTGTTTGGTATTTATTTGCTTCTCTTTGTGCCCCAGCAATATTTCATTTGATAAAGTTAACTGTGAGACGTTAGGATTATCTTTTGAATTGAAACCAATTTCCTTTACAGATCTTTTATCATCTAACGTCTTTAACATACTGTCAACAATTGCACTCACAATGATGTTTTCTTCGAACAAAATATTGTTTGAATATGAATATATCTTTTGAATTTCTAAGTCTAAATCATTTTGAATAAGCTTCAAAATGGCATTGGCAATGATGTCAGCATATGTCTTAAGGCTAGCTTGTGATAGGTGAATTGTGGATCCAAGTTTTTCTCCATGACTGGCAAAAGTGAAATCTGTGAGCTCTTGGCTAAGATTGGTTTCAGTTGCTGATATTTTCAGGACATTCACATCTGATTCCACTTGGCTTGAATCATAAAAGATGCTGTCATTTTGTTTACAATTTTCCATTCTGGGATAACAAATGACTTTTCTTTATGTTGGAAAGCAAGGGCAATTAATGAATCAACTCTTTTTGTGGCAAAAGATTCTAAACGATTAAAAATAGTTTTAGTAATGAAGTTAGCATTTTCTTCACATGAATCAGCAGCAAATTTCTGGATGTCTTCTTTCTCTACTACAGTTAAATGATTATCATCAGCATAAGCTGATTTCTGATTTCTTGAATATAAATAACACTCTGTTTTTCTTTCAGTTTTTGACCCCCTAAGAGGTTGTTGACAGTCTATTTTTGGAAACATATCCGGAAAGGTCAGGGGCAATGTTGCAGAAGTAGGATTCTTTGCATTTATGATAAGCATGACAGCAGAACTGAGATTATGAAGAACAATATTCACGATATCATTGGATATCAAAATGACATCTGATTTAGGAACTGAAAGCTTAGGAATAAACTTATTTGCACCTTCCATGAACATTTCAGAACTTTCTTTTGAATATTTATCAGCTCATTTCAGAGTGGGTGTGGCAAATGACAGATTATTCTGAAACAGGGTTTTCTCATAAATATCACATAAGATTCCTTCAATTGTAGCTTGTATTTGAAACTGAAGTGCTTTTTGATATTCGGTTTTATTGAGCAGCTTTTCAATAACACCTTTTTGCTGATCCAAATCAATCTCATTATCAGAACTGTTTTTGTTACACTTGCCTTTACATGATATAATGTCTAACACTGTGTTAACAATTTGACTTGCAATACTTTTAGAAATCCCAATGTCGTGAGTTAAGAAATGATTTTCCTTTTCTTTATCTAATTCATGTTTAATTTCTTGTAAATTTTTTCTAGCCACTTGTTGTGCATAAGTATTTAATTTAGACAAAGACAGTTGGCACAAGTTGGTCTCTCCTGACTTAGTATAATCTACTGAGCAATAGGAAAACTGCTCATCAGAATATGGATCTTTGGCTGATAATGCTTTGCTCAATGTACTCTGATCTTGCACTGGAACTGTAATGTTGACTTGGGAACAAAAGAGAGATTTTACTTTGGAAGTAGCAAACGTTTCCAAATTTGTTAATATTGCCTGTACAATATCTTCAACTACATTTACCTTTGCCTCTTTGTCAGCTACACTGAATCTAGACTGAAAAGCACATGGATTTTTATCCAATGCAGTGACAGAGGACTTTCCTTCATAGGTGTGTTCATGAAAAGAAATATTTGCTGAAAAATTCATAGTTTTATACCTATTTTTCCTTACATTTCTTTCTGTCATGGCAGCTGAATAAAGTTTGTGAAATACAGTTTTAACAATATTTTCTGTTACTATGGTTATATCTGCTTCAGAAATTAAAGGATCCATCATTTTATCCATACATTGAACAGGTGTTTGGGCAACTGGCGCATCAACATTGTGAGGCATGCCATTAAAATGAGAGTGGGAGAGAGAAAGCACATTTAATTGATTGATTAAAGTACTTTGAAAAAAATTTCATTCAAAATATTTCTCATGATGGGAGCAATTGGAGATATATTTGGTTCTTTGAGTTTTACTTCAATTTTGTTTAAGGTTTTTTCTAGAGCCCATTGTTTAAGAGAATGTGTGTTCGTTTCTTCTCTTTGTAGTGATCTATCATCAGTAATTTTTTTCTCTGTATATGCCTCATCTTCTAGAAATGAATCTGATTCAGCTCCTCCAGGAAGACTTCCATATGTTGGCCTGTATCGATAAGTTTCAATGCCTCCCTCTTTGGATTCAGTTTCATTAAACATATCTGAAGATAGTGCATCTAAAATTAATTTGACTACATCCGTAAGAATCTGAGTCTCAGGTGGTAGGGATTTTACACTTGTCCTCAAGTCCGATGAAGTCACATTTAATTCTGTTTGAATAGCCTTCAAGATAGCACTTGATACCTTCTTTGCAGGTGTGTATAAAGCAGACAAAAATGATTCTTCATGTGTGTCTCTGAAAATATTGGTGCTTTCCCAGCCCATCTTATTGCTTTTCTTATTTTCATCATTAATAGCATCCAGAATTTCTAAATATCCATCGGCAAACCCTTTCAGTTTAGCAAAAACCATATTAAGAATGTCTGAAGCTACAGCTTTCAGTTTATTTGGATGCATTTCTTTTGGGCTCTCTGCTTTGGAAGACACAGGAGCAACAGGTTTTGCTTTACTTTGAGTTCCCTCTTTATTGCCCTCCTGAACCATTTTGGAAACTATGCTGGAGATTATTTTGGTAGATTTGGCCATTTTCTCAATAATTGAAGCAAATGATGGGTTGTCAATGTCAAGAGACTCTGAGATGGCTTTTAATCCACAACTTGCAAAACTGGTATCCATGTCAATACCAGATAATTTTGCAAGGATATAATCAAAAATTGCTTTGGAAATTAACTGAATATTACACTGCAATGCAGCAGCCATTTTCTGATTCTTATTGGTAGTCTCTTGGCTTCCCAGGAGCTTGCTTAACAGTGTTTCCCCAATTCTATCTAACACTTCCAATTTTGCATTATTTTGAGTACCTTTTTCATCATTGACACTGTGGAGAGCACAAGGAGTAGCCATATATTTGTGAAAAGATTTTTTATCCTGCCTATTTGGCAAAATGCTTTGTTCATCAACACTGTCATTTGCAGACTTTTGCATACATGAAGAAAGTGAAATGTTTCTTTGATCTGCATTTTTGCTGGATAACATATCATAAATACATGTTAATAATGGACTTGCCAAAATGTCATCATCAATACTTGTGACAAGAGATTCTAATTTTTATTAGTATTAGCTATAAGAGATTTGGTATGGTCAATCTCCATAAAATTTAGGTTTTTCTTACGGAGTTCCAGTTCATTCTGGATAGCACATAAAACAATGTTCACTATTTTAGCTGTGTACTTACTAAGTTGAGATTGTAGTAAAGATTTGAAGCCCATATGCAATTTTGGACAAATAAATAACTTTAGTTTATCATTAATGTCATCTACAGGTTTAAGTTCACTTTCTCCAGATTTTAACCAGGAAGGCTTTTCAGAATCAATATTGAATGAAGATAAATATTGCATTTTCTTTTCACTGTCAAACCATGTTTTTAATGAACATTTATTTGGTGCTTCTTTGCCTCCATGTGCAGTGTCAGAACTATCTAAGGAAGTCTGATGAACTGATGATGAAATGCAACTTTTAGTGGTATTGGAAATGTAGTTTGGTGCCTTATGAAGTATGTTCGACACAGAATCTTTTATTTCTTGAGCCACTGTGTTGATTTCTGAAACAGAAAACAGCTGGTCTATCCATTCTTGATGTGACAGTCCTTGAGGCTTTTGTGAAGCAAGAACTGAAGCTTCATTGCCAGTTTTGCTGTTGAAATGACCAGGAGGAACAGAAGATACGTCCGTGAGCATTTCTTTTAAAACACTTGTGACTATGTTTTCTGAAGCCTTGCTTTTGGTCTTGGCTGAAGGTCAAAATAACTTTATTCAAACAAAGTTTTTTCTTTAAAGTATCATTATGATTAAGAGATGGTGGCTCAGTCTTTAATTCCCAATCAGGAAATGCAACTTGGCTTCTAGAAACAGGCTTTGTAGGTGGTTTGGTATTTCTTTTGTATTCAAAACAAGTGTTTCCCTTTGTAAATGAATTATCAGGAATCTGTTCTTGTGATTTTGCTTTTTCATCTTTGAAAACTGAATCAAGCACAGTTTTTACAATATTGTCTATCTCCTCATCTTCAGAATAAAGAAGTATGCCTGGAACATTTATAGGTAGAAATGGTCTTCTAGACCTAGGACTATTAGATAATCTAGTGCCAGCGAGTCTGTACTTTTCTTTGGTGTCAGAAGGACTACTTATTCTAGGTTGTCTACATTTTTGAAAATTTTTCTTTGCTGGTTCCTGATGGAGCTGAGCAAGGATATCATCAAGTAGCTGAAACTACTGTTTCTTCAGATGCAATAATTCTCTCATTATTTAGTTCAGTTTGTATATAACCTAGTATAGCACTAATTGCTTCCTCTATATAACCAATCAAAGAGGACTGGGAAAAAATATTTGATAGTAAATTTTGTATTTCTTCATTGACAGTTAAACTAGCTGCGTCAGATTCAAGACTAGATTTATTTTTGCCAGCTCTCTGAAGGAACATACATACTGGGTCTGTCTTATGTTGCTGGCAGGAAAGCTTAGTCGAATCTTTAAGTAGAAGAAATTCATTTCGCTTAGAAGAAGTAAGAGACATCAGCTTTTCTAAAATGGCATGCACCATGTCCTCTGCAATATCATACATCGGGTCCAAAGTACAAGGCATTGAATCAGTCAAAGGTTTTTTATTTGATGATGGGAGATGTTCATCACTGGCTGTTAAGCTTGGTTTAATGTTGACTGGTACATCTTGTGAAAACATCTCAACACATTTTTTATCCACTGCAGACTCTAACTTCTCAAGCATATTTTCCACAATCTCAGAAGCAACTGAGCAAATATCAACATTGGAGGGCAAGTCTTCTTTTTCACCTTCACATTGTTCAACAAAAACTTCAGCAGTAACAGAAGAGAGAGAGGGAATGGCCTGGGTTAAATCAGATATTATTTCACGAAAGATGCTTTCTAAAATCACTTTAGTTTTCTCTTTCAAGTGACATTTAAAGTTAACAAAAACATTTTTTAAATTCTTCATTTCATCTATGGCTTTTGCTTTTTTATCACAAATCAGTGAACTCCCTAGGCTATCTGTTTCAGTAGTAGCATCCTTAGACTTTGTTGTGCTTGTTTCAAATGATGCTAAAAGATGACTATCTGATTTACAACTTCTGAGCTTAGGGTATGAACATAGCACGTTGCTTTTATTATATTTAAGTGTAGAAGTTATAGATTGTCCTTTTGCATGATAGGTTTTCCCGACAACAGTTCTTTCCTTATGTGCAGGAGATTTATTGGTGTGGTTGGTCTCCTTACTGACAGGTCAACTGCAAATGCACAGGGTTCTGCCTGAAATGTTTTAGTTGTTGAAGATGTGTAGGTTCTATCTGCAAAGTCTTCACTGCATGTGCTACAGAAACTTGAACTATCTGAAGAGAGGATGGAGTTATCGGACGCTGGGTATGTATTATTTCTCAATCTTTCTTCATACTTTGTGATGGCTGGGTACAATATGCTAGTCACTGTAGCCACAACCCAGGTCATTATATTCTGAATTATAATAATCAGTTCTTCAGAAGTTACCTAGAAATGAAGTAAGCAGGGATGAAAACAAAGTCATATAACAACTTACTCTATGTTTTGGAGACAGCAGGTAACATCGAATTTTTATATCAAGCAACGTATAGGTGGAAAACCCATATGGTTTATGAAAGAAAATAGTTAAAAAAAAGATTAGAAATTTAGAATTTCAGATGAATTTCTAGTTTGTTTATTCTGCAATATACGAAGTATTTTTTTTTGTGTTTAAGATTTATTTTATTCACAGTCTCTCAGAAGTTTCTTTTTCCCTTGGCATTTATTATCAGGATAAATGATTTTTTGTTTAAAAAAATTACCAAATTGTTGTATAGGCACACAGCATGCAAATATTTTGGAAAGAAAACATGTAATCTTTATGATCCAGCTAATTTTTAAGATCATTAAATATTTGTAATAAAATATTTCTCAAAACAGATGCAGCCAAAATATTGGTTGCTTTCAGAAGCATCTGTCTAACTGAGATATGGGGAGGGAACACAAATCATTCTCTCTTCCAGTCCCTGCTGAAAGGGTGAGCCTGTAGTCTATCTATATCTATAGAAATGATTAAAGTTAATTATTAAGAATTATTTGATAGGCAAAAATAAAAGTTCATGCTTTATATAGATTAACAGGCTTTTTGCCCAACAAACAAGTGTAAATACAAATTGCCTTAGATAGGAAAGCTGAGAACAGATAATAAAGATTTAGATAGAACATAAAAGTCAAGCTAGATTTGTGACTCAAAGAGTAGGGAGAGCTGAGCAAGATTAAGAAAGTTAGACTATTACTGAGCTGGAACTAAGAACCAGATTTGAATAACCATTTCCTTAGTGACCAATAGTGCTGTCATAGATTTGTGCTGGACCATGGATAGAAACAAATGCATCTGTAGAGTTCTATAAACCTCTACTTACCAACCGCAAATGCATTTTGTGCTTACAAAACTCATCTTACTTATAATAAAGTAGTACTGTTTTTAAATTGTTAAAACTCTTAAAGCATACAGGCTGTAAACACAAGTAATTGGCAGCAAAGCTTAGAAGGCTGATGTGTAGGTCTTCGTGTAAATAAGATTCCTGTAACTAGGCTGCTCACACCCAAAATATTGCCTAAATTAGTCTGAAATTACTCATATTTCAGAGAAACATTCAAAGAAAAGTTAACATGTATATGCCACACTCCCTCATAAGCATTTGAGGAGCACCTGAGGAAAGGCCATTTTACTCAGCTGTAATCCCCAAATATACCCCCAATATTTTTTAACTTATTGTATAAGCAATGGGTTAGTGGTTATGACACATATTTTGAGATGACAGTTTGTTATAAAATACTTGTCTTGGGAGAGGACTCAAGATGGCGCTGTGAGAACAACCCAGGATTGGAGCTCTCGTCGAATCCGCGGAGAGGTGAGTCGCAGCTGCATTTCCAGATTGATCTTTGTTGCCCACGGAATGGGGAAACTCCCAAGTATAAAGGAGACGCGGGACGCCAGGCAGTACCTCTACCTGGCGAAGCCGGCAGCCGGGGTGGCAGTGGCCGGCCACCCCAGCGCTCCCCACAGGGCGCGCTTGTCCGGGTGCCCTGTTGAACTGGCAACCTGAGACTTGAGAGGGCTGGACTTGAGACTGAACGAGACTTGGACAGGGGGCCAGCCCAGGGGATTGCAGGGACAGAGCCGTTCGGGGTAGCCCAGTGGGACGAACAAAACCGCGATTTCAAACAATCCCCGGGCAGGCGGTGCGAGACGCTCTGTGGGGGAGGGGCATCCACCATTACTGAGGCAACCCGCCCCAACTGAGATACACGCCCACTGCCGACACAGCCAGCCGTTGCCGAGGCAACCCGTCCCTACTGAGATACACGCCCACTGCTGACGCAGCCTGCCGTTGCTGAGGCAACCCGCTACAACGAAGAGACTCCGCCGCAGGGCGTGGCAGGCAAACAGTGGCTAATCTGCCTCCTAGCTGGGCAGAACACCTCAGTGGACATCGAAAAATAAAGCCCGAACCCCCGAACACAGAGCATTTGAGAAAAAAAGGGTTTTTTTAATGAGCTCTGTTGCAGCAGAATCAAACATAGCAGCCTAACAGCCCTGAATGGACAACACAGCTCACAGCTCAGCAATTGAGCTCCTATAAAGTACAGACTGTCTCCTCAAGCAGCTCCCTGACCCCTCTACTGACATTTGGCAGGCATCATCCTGGGACAAAGATAGCAGAAAAAGAAATGGGTAGCATCCCTCACTGTGCCACAGCTGCTAGAGGTACACCCCAGACAAGCAGGGCCTGGAGTGGACCTCAGCAGTTGTACAGCGAAGGGGCTAGACTGGTAGAAGAAACCCAAGTAACAGAAATACTTCATCATCAACAATCTGGGTGTCCACTCAGAGACCCAATCGAAAAGTCAGCAACTACGCAGACAACAAGTGGATAAATCCACAAACATGGGAAGAAACCAGCGAAAAAAGGAGGAAAACACCCGAAACCAGAACACCTCGCCTCCTAGAAAGGAACAAAACTCCTCACCAGCAAGGGAGCAAAGCTGGATGGAGAATGACTGTGACAAAATGACGGAATTAGACTTCAGAAGGTGGATAATGAGAAACTTTTGTGAGCTAAAAGAACATGTATTAAAACAATGCAAAGAAACTAAGGAACTTGAAAAAAAAAGATATGGAGAAATGATAACAAGAATGGATAACTTAGAGAGAAATATGAATGAATTAAAGGAGCTGAAAAACACAATACGAGAACTTTGCGAAGCATGCACAAGTTTCAATAGCCGAATTGACCAAGCAGAAGAAAGAATATCTGAAGTCGAAGACGAACTGAATGAAATAAAATGAGAAACCAAGATTAGAGAAAAAAGTGCAAAAAGGAATGAACAAAGTCTCCAAGAAATGTGGGACTATGTGAAAAGACCTAACCTATGTTTGATAGGTGTACCAGAAGAGGATGAAGAGAATGAATCCAAGCTGGAAAATACTCTTCAGGACATCATCCAGGAAAATTTCCCACCACCTAGCAAGAAAAGCCAACACTCAATTGCAGGAAATACAGAGAACACCACAAAGATATTCCGCAAGAAGAGCAACCCCAAGGCACATAATCGTCAGATTCAACAAGGTTGAAATAAAGGAGAAAATACTAAGGGCAGCCAGAGAGAAAGGCCCACAAAGGGAAGCCCATCAGACTCACAGCAGATCTCTCGGCAGAAACACTACAAGCCAGAAGAGAGTGGGGGCCAATATTCAACATTCTTAAAAAAAAGAACTTTCAACCCAGAATTTCGTATCCAGCCAAACTGAGCTTCAGAAGTGAAGGAAAAATAAAATCCTTTGCCAACAAGCAAGTACTCAGAGATTTTGTCACCATCAGGCCTGCTTTACAAGAGCTCCTGAAAGAGGCACTACACATAGAAAGGAACAACCAGTACCAGCCATTCCAAAATCACACTAAATGCTAAAGAGCACCAACATAAAGAAGAATCTACAACAACTAACAGGCAAAACAGCTACTTAGCATCAAAATGGCAGTATCAAATTCACACATAACAATATTAACCCTAAATGTAAATGGACTAAATGCACCAATCAAAAGACACAGACTGGCAAATTGGATAAAAAGCCAAAACCCAGCAGTGTGCTGTATCCAGGAAACCCAGGATACACAAAGGCTCAAAATAAAGAGATGGAGGAAGATTTACCAAGCAAATGGAGAGCAACAAAAAGCAGGAGTTGCAATTCTCATCTCTGATAAAATAGACTTTAAAGCAACAAAGATCAAAAGAGACAAAGAAGGCCATTACATAATGGTAAAAGGATCGATACAACAAGAATAACTAACAATCCTGAACATATATGGACCCAATGCAGGAGCACCCAGATACATAAGGCAAGTTCTTAATAACTTACAAAGAGACTTAGACTCCCACACAATAATAGTGGGAGACTTTAATACTCCACTGTCAATATTAGACAGATCAACCACAGAAAATCAACAAGGATATCCAGGGCTTGAACTCAGACATGGAGCAAGCAAACCTGATAGACATTTACAGAACTCTCCACCCCAAATCCACAGAATACACATTCTTCTCAGCACCACATCACACTTACCCTAAAATTGACCACATAATTGGAAGTAAAGCGCTCAACAAATGCAAAACAACTGAAATCATAACAAACAGCCTCTCAGACCATAGTGCAATCAAGTTAGAACTCAGAATTCAGAAACCGACCCAGAACCGCACAGCTTCATGGAAACTGAACAACTGGCTCTTGAATGTTGACTGGGTAAACAATGAAATGAAGACAGAAATAAAGAAGTTCTTTGAAACCAATGAGAACGAAGACACAACATGCCAGAACCTCTGGGACACATTTAAAGCAGTCTCTAGAGGAAAGTATATAGCAATAAGTGCCCATATGAGGAGAATGGAGAGATCCAAAATTGACACCCTATCGTCAAAATTGAAAGAGCTAGAGGAGCAAGATCAAAAAAACTCAAAACCCAGCAGAAGACAAGAAATAACTAAGATCAGAGCTGAACTGAAGGAGATTGAGACACGAAAAACCCTTCAAAAAATCAATAAATCCAAGAGCTGGTTTTTTGAAAAGATCAACAAAATAGACAGACCACTAGCCAATTAAAAAGAAAAGAGAGAACAACCAAATAGATGCAATAAAAAATGATAAAGGGGAAATCACCACAGATTCCACAGAAATTCAAACCATCATCAGAGAATATTACGAACAACTCTATGCACATAAACTAGTAAACCTGGAAGAAATGGATAAATTCCTGGACTCCTGTGTCCTTCCAAGCCTAAACCAGGAGGAAGTTGAAACTATGAATAGACCAATAACAAGGTCAAAAGTCGAGGCAGCAATTAAGAGCCTACCACTCAAAAAAAGCCCAGGTCCAGATGGGTTAACAGCCAAATTCTACCAGACACACAAAGAGGAGCTGGTACCATTCCTTCTAAAACTATTTCAAACAATCCAAAAAGAGGGAATCCTTCCCAAATCATTTTATGAGACCAACATCATCCTGATACCAAAACCCGGCAGAGACCCAACAAGAAAAGAAAACTTCAGGCCAATATCCATGATGAACATAGATGCAAAAATCTTCAATAAACAAATCAAAAAACTTATTCACCATGATCAAGTAGGATTCATCCCGGGGATGCAAGGCTGGTTCAACATATGCAAGTCTATAAACATAATTCACCACATAAACAGAACCAAAAACAAAAACCACATGATTATCTCAATCGACGCAGAGAAGGCATTTGACAAAATTCAACAGCCCTTTATGCTAAAAACCCTCAATAAACTCGGTATCGATGGAACGTATCTCAAAGTAATAAAAGCTATTTTATTGACAAACCAACAGCCAATATCATACTGAATGGGCAAAAACTGGAAGCATTCCCTTTGAAATCTGGCACTAGACAAGGATGCGCTCTTTCACCACTCCTATTCAATATAGTACTGGAAGTTCTAGCCAGAGCAATCAGGCAAGAAAAAGAAATAAAGGGTATTCAAACAGGAAAGGTGGAAGCCAAATTGTCTCTATTTGCAGACGACATGATAGTATACCTAGAAGACCCCGCCCAAAAACTCCTGAAACTGATAAGAAACTTCAGCAAAGTCTAGGATATAAAATCAATGTGCAAAAAATCACAAGCATACGTCTACACCAATAACAGACTTAAAGAAAGCCAAATCAAGAACGAACTGCCATTCACAATTGCTACAAAAAGAATAAAATACCTTGGAATACAACTCACAAGGAACGTAAGGGACCTCTTCAAGGAGAACTAGAAACCACTCCTCAACGAAATCAGAAAGGACACAAACAGATGGAGAAACATTCCATGTTCATGTTAGGAAGAATTAATATCGTGAAAATGGCTATACTGCCCAAAGTAATTTACAGAATCAACGCTATCCCCATCAAGCTACCATTGACTTTCTTCACAGAACTGGAAAAAACCACCATGAACTTCATATGGAACCAAAAGAGAGCCCACATAGCCAAGTCAATTCTAAGCAAAAAGAACACAGCGGGGGGCATCACACTACCGGATTTCAAACGATACAAGGCTACAGTAATCAAAACAGCATGGTACTGGTACCAAAACAGAGATATAGACCAATGGAACAAAACAGAGGCACCGGAGGCAACACAACATATCTACAACTATACAATCTTTGATAAACCTGACAAAAACAAGCAAGGGGGAAAGGATTCCCTGTTTAACAAATCGTGTTGGGAAAACTGGCTAGCCATGTGCAGAAAGCAGAAACTGGACCCCTTCCTGACACCTCACACTAAAATTAACTCCAGATGGATTAAAGACTTAAACATAAGACCTGGCAAGATAAAAACCCTAGAAGGAAATCTAGGCAAAACTATCCAGGACATAGGAGTAGGCAAGGACTTCATGAACAAAACACCAAAAGCATTGGCAACAAAAGCCAAAATAGACAAATGGGACCTAATGAAACTCCACAGCTTCTGCACGGCAAAAGAAACAGTCACTAGAGTGGATCGGCAACCAACAGAATGGGAAAAAATGTTTGCAGTTTACCCATCAGGGCTGATATCCAGAATTTACAAAGAACTCAATCAGATTTACAGGAAAAAAACAAACAAGCCCATTCAAAAGTGGGCAAAGGATATGAACAGACACTTTACGAAAGAAGACATATATGAGGCCAACAATCATATGAAAAAATGCTCATCGTCACTGGTCATCAGAGAGATGCAAATCAAAACCACATTGAGATACCATCTCACACCAGTTAGAATGGCGATCATTAAAAAATCTGGAGACAACAGATGCTGGAGAGGATGTGGAGAAAAAGGAACACTTTTATACTGTTGGTGGGAGTGTAAATTAGTTCAACCATTGTGGAAGACAGTGTGGCGATTCCTCAAGGCCTTAGAAATAGAAATTCCATTTGACCCAGCAATCCCATTACTGGGTATATATCCAAAAGACTATAAATCGTTCTACTATAAGGACACATGTACACGAATGTTCATTGCAGCACTGTTTACAATAGCAAAGACCTGGAATCAACCCAGCCCATTGATAATAGACTGGATTGGAAAATGTGGCACATATACACCATGGAATATTATGCAGCAATCAGAAATGATGAGTTTGTGTCGTCTGTAGGGACATGGATGAATCTGGAGAACATCATCCTCAGCAAACTGACACGAGAACAGAAAATGAAACACCACATATTTTCACTCATAGGCGGGTGATGAAAAATGAGAACACATGGACACAGAGAGGGGAGTACTAAACACTGGGGTCTATTGGGGGGGAAAGGGGAGGGCCAGTGGGAGGGGGAGCTGGGGAGGGATAGCCTGGGGGGAAATACCAAATGTGGGTGAAGGGGAAAAGGAAAGCAAAGCACACTGCCATGTGTGTACCTACACAACTGTCTTGCATGCTCTGCTCATGTACCCCAAAACCTAAAATCCAATAAAAAATTTAAAAAAAAAATGCTTGTTTTAAATAAATACACTCTAAATCAAATATTTAAGAATAAAACCTAAATGTTTACAGAGAAATTATTCTAAATCAACTACAACACATATAAATGATAAACTAAGACATTCAATATGTTATTTTTCTTATTACGAGAGTTGATAAACAATAACCTACATTATTACTCTTAGGCTAGTTGTGGCAAAGCGATTCCAACCTCAATCTGTAAAAGAGGCATCTATTTCTAAAGTTTTCTTTGTAGTGAAATATGATAGATGAAATCCCAGTTTTCATTTTCTTTCTATTACAACATTAAACTGAAAAATATTCCCTTGGGTCAAAGCTTTTGTATTTGCTGCATATTCTATGAATTGAGCAAGTGTCCATGTTAAATAGTGTGCCAGAATATGTATTGTTCCTCAAATGCTTTCTCTTTCCTGAGTGTTCAGTGTAGATCCAAATTAGGTCTCATAAAAATATACTATCTTATCTTTGCCTGTTCCAAGTCTCAGCTCATATGTGATGAGGTCCCTTTTCACAAAACTGCTAAAGACAGATCCAAGCATCTCAACTCATCAGTTCACCAACAAGATCTGCAAGGGCATATCATTATAGCTTCCCATGATAGAATAGGCTTGTGGTATTTGATTCTCTTCCTGTGATGGCTAGGTCCCTTAATATTTCACCATTCTATACCCATGAGACTTTATCTTGCATGGCTAATATTATTTTTGATAACAACTTTGGACCACAGAAAAGCATAAATATTAACTGAAAAGGAACTTCAAACAAGAAAAAAGGACAAAGAAGAAGACCAACAAATATCAATGGATGACTCCTAGTTTTCTAGTTAACAAAATGTATTCTATTATGATGTATCAGAAAGTATGACTAATATTGTTGCTTTATCAGTGGATTTTATGGTACATACTTTTTCTTGCAAGCAATTTTGTGGTGGATTCTGTTGCCTGTAGAGAAAAGTTGATCATTTCTTTATTGCAGAGTCAGGAATTTATAAAACATATTTCTAAAATTTCTAATTATTGAATCATTTTGTTGTATCTAAGAGACAAATTCAAAATGAAGAATATACCATTTTTTCCAATCCTCCTATTTTACTTTCTCCTTAGAATGGCCTCTAGTTTTAGAAATGTACTTTATTACTCATGGGAACAGTCTTATAGCTGCAGCATAAACAATGTACCTCTCTGATCTTTGTTCTTCTAACACACCTTAGCCATGCCCACTTGGTTTCTCTGAAAAAGGATATCGGATTGGCAGGGGAGGGTGCAGATGAGTTCCTTTTGACTGTTAAAATGTCTGACAGAGCAGCAAATCATATGACCAGAACTTTCTGATAGTCATTTATTTACTCTTTCAGATGCTGTAGTTCTGCCGTTCCCTCCCCATATTCCATGGTAGGAAGAAAATGATTATTCAATAACTATGTGTTAAAATCATGGATTTCTAGCTATATTTAATACCAATTTAGATGCATTCCTTTTCTGTGTATGACAATACTCTATCATGTGTTATTACATTTACCATCACACACTAATGGAAATAAAAAGTTTTCTGAACTGCAAAAAAAGTATAGCTCAATCATAAAAATAATGGAAAATAAAATAAATATTTATTAAAACGAGGTCTAAAACTGAAGTCTGATTTATTTTCATATATTTTTGCTGATTTGAACTGTTTTTTTCTTTCTATTTTCTTAAGTACACACCTTTTAGGCCTGTACTCCACATGATTAAATTTAAATTTTCCCCAAGGTTTATAATTCAATTTTAAGAAATAGCCAGACTAAAAACTACGTCCTGTATTTTGGCAGGAAAAGAAAAACTTCACTGGGTTCAGTTCATAAAATGCGTTTTGTGACAACAGTCTATCTTTAGTCTATCCTTAGTACCTTTTTGCAGTATGCAACTGGGAGCATGGAAGCTGATGTCAGTAATATGTTCTCTATCATTTGCCCTCATTTGTTTTTCTAGGATCTGGTTTCTTAGGTCAACCCAAGTTTCCACAGGTTTCTCTTAGATATTCTGCAACCTAATGCATTCAGATTCATTTTTCTGTTTTCTTCATATTATATCATTGGCATAAAACATAACTCAAGGAGTTCTATGTATTCATTGATACCACTTCCCAATAGACTTTCTGCTCCAAAAGCATGCAGAACCAAAGTACAAAGGCCTACATGTAAATTTAATCTGAAAACTGAAAAAGGTTTATTGATGACTATTAGAAAACAGTTTTCTTAACCAGATAAACCATGGCATCAGAAGAAATGGCAGAGTAAGTATCTCTGATATTCATTCCTCCAAAAAATAATGAGTGAACTGGCAAAAGAAAAATGACCAGAATTATAGTTTCTGGAACTCTAGAAAATTAAAAACTTGCAGCATTCCAGAGAGCACTTATTTAGGAAAAACAGTGAGCCTAGGTAATAGCAACAGGTTTTGGTGTTTTAATTTGTCTTATTTTTATCCCCTCTCTTCAGCTTCATAATATCCTTCAAAAAGAATACCCTGAAATAGTAGAAACATAGTTTTATCTTGGCATTATAGTTTGAACATAGTAGGTCCTCAATAAATATTTGATAAATAAATCCCTATTTAAAGTCTTTTGGATCTGTGCCTACTTCTCTCTAATGCCAAATGAAGCCTTTGTGCAGGCCACACTGATGGACTTTAATAACTGGTTCTGAGTTTCTTTCTTTCAATCTTTCCTATATATCATTGTCAAAGTTACTCATTATATATGCTAATTTGACCATTATACCTGCATTAAAAACCATCAGACTATTATCCAATAAATAAACTACAAGTTTTAACCACAGACTTCAGGATAATAGATTTAGTGCTTTCTTCACTCTGTTACTCCTTATACCTTCCCTGTAATACACACTTACTCATCACCTAAGTGCAATGCTGAATTATTGCAACTTTACTCCCACTGCTGTTATATTTGCTTTATTTTCATTCCTTTGGTACTGAATTTTCATCTCTATTTTATAAATATAAACAACTGAACAGAAACAAAGTGAGAGAAGAGAAAGAAATGATGGAATAGATGTGAGACTTCCACAGCAAACTCCTATAAAACTTGGAGTTAAACCTGAACAAGAGGAATGTGACATATGTGACTTTGCTCTTATTTGGATCTCTGTGTATGCTTTTGGAGAAGTGGTGAAGAAGCTCCAGGTAAGATAAAGAGTTTTTTATTTTTCACCAAGCTAAGATTTATAAGGAAAGAATATCGAAAATGCTTGCTATGAAATATTCAAGTGATTTTTGTAGTTCTACATTCTTGGGTTGGAGAAGATAAAAGTGCACTTTTTACAACAGTATTATGAGCCTCTTATAACCTTTTCTTTAAAAGGTATGTACTTATATTTCCAATAAATAAAAATGTATCCAATAAATAAAATAATTATTTTACATGTGGTCTACACACGGTCATCAAGTTTTATTGCTTTGAACTAGACAAGTCAGTTTCCTTCCTTCTGCATCTTTTACTGTGTTAGAATACTCAAGAAGTCAAACTAACTGGTATTTATCTGTCTTAAGGTAAAAATTATTATTTCAAGAAGGCTGGTCCGAACATGTCAATATCATTTGCCATCACTCACAACTTACTTTACTCAATCATCTTCATGGGAATTTGGAGTTTGTATCATCTTTCCTAGACTTCATTTGTCTTGCTGATTTTTTTAAAAGATTGTGGCATGTGTGTAAAATAATTCATTGCTATTACTTAGATTCATGTTTTCCTCTCTCTCTTTTCTTGAGTTGAGAAAAACAGATATAAACATCAACAAAATAGGTGGTCACTAAGGTTTGAGGAGTGAAAAGTACCTGGCCTTAACAAATATATCTTCTACATGCCATAATTTCTACTATTAGAGATTATTATTTTGTATTAATCTGCAAAATACCCTTTAGGGTGGGGGATGACTGATTAAGTCATTAATACTATAGAGTAAACTATATTACCAGAATTAGAAAGCCAATAGTCTCAAAAAGCATAAGGAATTGTAGCTATTTCAAAGAAAAGAAAGGCAAAGAAATAAATACAGGTTATGAGAAATTACCTGAAGAAAGCTATGATGCAGATACACTTGAAAGTGGCATGGAGATCCTGACTATAGGTGGATTATAGAACCACAGTGGAGATACGGAGATAAAGAAAGGGAAGGACAAATATTCATTTTGTCTACAACTTAAGCTTAGTGCTGAAAGTCTGCAAAAGACTGTTTAACTAAATCCAAGTAGAACTACAAAAATTGAGGATTCCATGTAATCATTTGCTTATGAGTGGCACTCTTATGTAATTATTAAAATTTTTATTTATGATTACATATAATTCCTTAGATACTTACATATTTGTGTTAACAGGAGAAGAAAATATACCCGGGTCTGTAGCCTGAGCCTGAGGTCCTATTTATGAGAAAAAGAAAATTATATAGTTTGTATCCATCCTCAGCAACTTGCTAAATGTTAATCCTCTACTAGGTGTTATTACTGCCTTGTTTACAAGGTTTTAGAGACTCTCCACAGTGAAGTCCAAAGTTCTTAGCAAGAACCTGTACTATAAGATCTGATGTCCTTTTCTACCTCTCTAGTATCTTCTCTAACTAGTCATTCATATTTATGCTATGGTCCAGAGACAGAATATATCCCAGTTCCCTAAATATATCATGTTTCTCATGCCTCTCTGGCCTATGGTTTTGCAATTTCTTTTGTCTAGAATGCCCTGTGCTGTCTTTAAACTTCTCATCTTTTAGGTCTCATTCAGCTTATGGCAACTCTTGAAAGCCTTCCTTGAAAGCTACCTGAATAAATACCTTTCCTAATGCTCTCAAAGCACTCTAAACATGTTTATATTATAAAACTCATCATGCTATACATTAATTATGTTAGTTCTTGTGTACACCTAATTATTATATAAAATAAAATAATTGATGTGTGGTCAATTTTATTTTTTAAATTTTCTTTAAGTTCTTGCAGATTGTGCAGGTTTGTTACTCCCGAGACCCTGGTGTGTGATGTTCCTCTTCCTGTGTCTATGTGTCCTCATTGTTCAACACCCACTTATGTGTGAGAACATGCAACGTTTGGTTTTCTGTTCTTGTGTCAATTTGCTGAGAATGATGGTTTCTGGTTTCATCCATGTCCCTACAAAGGACATGAACTCATCAATTTTAGAGAGAAATAAACTGAGACATATCTGAAAGTTAAATGTGAAGATAAAACTATTTTTAATACAAAAAAGCTCTTCTATGGTTTCCAGCAATATGCTAAACAAGTGTCTTTCATTTTGCCTAGAATTCAGTATAGAGTATTAAAGTCATACTGTTAAAAATAGCTAAACTTTCAAAGAGATAGTAGAACTTTCTGAAGGTAAAACAATTATGAGAACACAAATCTATAGTGGTAAAGAAATGCTGAAGCTGATACCTGCTCTAGGGACATTGGCCACATCTGGAAATGTATGTTTGGTCAGAGCATTTAAAACAAGACATTGGGCCCCCAAAAGATGGGGAATTAAAACTAAGAGCTCCTAAAAATATACAGATGCTTCTTGACTTAAAGTGGGGTTGACATCACAATAAACTTACCATAAGTTGAAAATATTTTAAGCTGGAAATGCATTGAATACACCTAATCTGCTGAACATAACAGCTTAGGTTCGCCTACTTTAAATTTGTTCCGAACACTTACATTAGCTTACAGTTGGACAAAATCAGCTAACACAAAGCCTACTTTATAATAAAGTGTTGAATATCATATGTAATTTATTGAATGCTATACTGAAAAGGAAAAACAGAATGGTTGTATGGGTCCTTAAAATACAGTGTCTATTGCATGTTTATTGCTTTCACACATCCTAACATTGAAAAATCATAAGTCTAACCACTAAGTAGGGGACCATCTGTATAGGATCCCAAAGAGCTACACTGTCAATTAGTCATGTACAAGAAAAATAATTAGAAAAAAAAAATCATACCACAGAGGAAGCAGACAAATTATGTCTTGGCTTGTGGCTATGGATGGAGAAGGAGAAGGAGAAAATAAAAGTATTTTCTAAAAACTCATAATCACAGATACTGTTTTCTATACCCTTGAGTTTCAAATCCAAAGAAACTTTATTGTCCTTCAAACTGCATGTGAGAATTTAATTTAAAACAAAGCTGTGTTCACAGCTCTTACAGATAACTGGAAAAAGCATATGTAAATTTCCTTTAGAGAATTACAGCCTATCCAAATACTACAGAATTCCCAACAATAAATTTCTGTCAAAACTGAGCTCACATATAACAATAATAACCTCCCATCCCCACAGAAATTTAAAAAAAAAACTAGAAACTATGGTTTTTAACAGAAATAAAAACAATATATTAAATTTAGACCCCAAAGATTTCAAATATTAAAATTACCAGATATAAAATATAAAATAAGAGAACATTATATGTTTAAATAGAATTTGAAAGGATAAGAATGGAAAAAGAGCTTATAAGAAGTCCAGACAAATTTGAAAATAACTATTTAGAAATTGTATTATATATATACAATATGTGGTAGTTCAATAAATTGTATAATATAATTTATAAAATGATAAATTTTAAATAACTAAATAAAGAGAAAATTGGTGAATTGGAGGACATATTTGAAGAAATTAACAGGAATGCATCGGAGATAAGTGGAAAATACGTTGTTAAATGATATAAGACAAAAATGTAGTCTAATAGTCAGAGGAAGATAATGGAAATGAAGAGAGGAAATACAGAAAGAGAAAATGATTTTACAGAACAGCTCATTATAATAACACTAAAGAAAAACAAAGAAAACATCTTAAAAACAGCCTGCCTTGGGGGATGGAAAAATCACTTACACAGGAATAATTACTTAGAATAAAAGTAAAATTAAAAAAAATTTTTTTTTCTTTTTCTGAGATGAGTGTCACTCTGTCAACCCAGGCTGGAGTGCAGTGGCACATTCTTGGCTCACTGAAATCTCTGCCTCAGTCTAAATAAAACAATATCTTTAAAGTGCTAAGAAAAAATAACTGTCCCCTAAACTTATTTGTACACTTGGACATAATGACATTCTAATACAAGGATGAAGAACATTTTCTCAAATAAAATCTGAGAATTTACTCCCAAAATACATTCCCTAAAGATCTTCCTAAAGAATGCAGTACTTTAGGACAAATGGCAATGATCCCAAGAAGTACTAAATACAGGAAGGAATGAGTGAAAAACAAAATAAGTTGGTAAACAGGAGGATAAATATAAATTAAATCTGTATAAAACAGTAATAAGAAAGTAATTTGGCTGACAAAAGCTTTAAAATGTCAAAATATAAATTATTGAACAATAATAAGTTAATATGAAGTTGTGATTAGAAGTAAAGTTGTGATTAGCTTTTATTTTAAATATACTTCAACATAACTCGAAGAGTAAATTTACAATTCAACACAAAGAAATAACAAATATTTGAGTGAAGGATCTCCCAATTAACCAGACTTATTACTATACACTGTATGTTCATATCAAAATACATATGTTCCCCAGAAATATGTCTGACTTTTATGTATCCATAAAAATTTAAACAAAAAGTTAGGGTGATTGCCAAAAGGAATATACATACACTGTGCAATTTATAAAACAGTAAAAAATACTAGATAAAAACTAAATTTAGCACTCTTAAGAGAATGTAATAAATAAATAAAAATATATTAAAAAGTAGGACAAAGGGAAACCACAAAGCAATAAAAAACTTCCAAAGATTTGTAATTTACATAAATACAAATTGATTGAGTTCTGTTAAAAGTAATAAATTCTAAGACAATAAAAGTAAAACAAAATCCAGCTGCACATTGTCTTCAAGAGCCATCTAAACAAATAAAGACACTAAGATTAGAAGCTGATATATCTATATTAATATTAGACACATTTAAGGAAAAAACAGTAAAGGTCACTGCATGATGATAAAATATTCAATCACCTGGAAGATATCATGATTCTAAAATATGAATCTAATCACTAGATCAAAAAATATTTTTTAAAATGGGCTGAGCTACATTAAGGAGTTGCAAACTCACTATCATTAATTTTCAATAATGTTTTGAACAAGGAGTAAAAAATAATTATATATGTGGATTTGAATATACAATAAGTTATATATTTGAAATACATAATTCACCATATTGATTGAATGGACATATTTAAACATTACATCCCAAACTGAACAATATTCATTGTTTTCAACCATACAGAACCTATTAAATATTAATCATGTTTGCTAAGCCATAAGGCATTGTCTACTTCTTCTTCTTTAAAGTTGGTATCATAAAGATCATACTGTCAGTCTACAATGCAATTAAATTGTAAATGACCACCAACAACAATGAACCTAGGAGTAATTTAACAACTAACTCATAAATACAAACTAACAAACAAAATGACAAGGTTTTTGATACATTTTAAATTTTCATAGTTACATATCACCAACTAAGTTTCACACACTGTTCTAAAAACTTTAAAATACTAAACTCATTGAATTTCCATGACAACTATATGAATCACTACTATTATTCTTATTTTATAGTTGGGAAAACTAAAGAACAGAGACATTAAATAACTTGGCTAAACTAGCATGCATTTTAAGTACTGGAGTGTGGATTAAACCTAGCTACCTGAGTACATTCTCTTAGCAACTATGTCATATTGCCTTTCAATAACCTCATCTAAATAAAAAGGGTATATTATGAGTTTATGCAAATATATTTGAAAATTTAGATGAATTAAATAAATTTATGTAATATAATTACCTGCTAAAAAGACTCAAAAAAAAAAAAAAAAACAATAGTTCTGAATCACTAAAGCAACTGAATTCGTAATTTAGGTTTTTCTCACTAAAAGAACGACTAGGTTATTTATTTTAACAGTGACTACTACCAAACAAAGAATATATAATTTCAACTTTGCAAACGACTATAAAATAATAAAAACAGGCATTACAATAAACTCATGGGGCTAGTGTAATCTTGGCACAAAAACCAGATCAGGATATTATGAGAAATGCAAATTACAACCCAACCTCTCTCAAGAACCTAGATGCTAAAATCCTAAATAAATTGCTAGTAAATTTAATCTGCACATGTATAAGAAGAAAAACACATGATAGATAAAATTGATTTAATCAAGGGTGTGTGGTTGTTTTAACAAAATATCATAGTCTTAACAGACACATAAAATATATTTTAAAAGTCAGCTTTCACCACTAATAAGAAAGTTTTGCATGTTAGAAATAGAAAGATGCTTTTTTAACCTGACATTATTATCTACCAAAAGATCGCAGTACCTATCATATGAAATGAGAAATTACTTAAACATATTTTTCATTAAGAAAGAAGAAAGGCCATCCCTACACTT